ATTTTCGTCGCCAAACACATTTTATGGCATTGTGCATTTGCGTTGCTAAATACTTTTGACTACGTTTTGTACTATTTTCGTCTTTAAAAAGTATCCACAACAACATATGGTTACGTCGCGAAAACAACTTGGGCATCGCTTTTTGTATTTTCGTCGTCAAAAACATTATATGACGAATTATGTCATTGTTAAGTTCGTCGCCAATTTGTTTCTCGCCATCTCGTGCGAGGATTAGAAAGTCCGCGAAACTATTAACGACCAATTTCATATTTCGTTGCTAATAGTTACCTTCAACGACGAATTTTGAAATCGTAGCTAACAAAATCGTAGCTAAAAGCTCTTTTTGTTATAGTGAAAGCAGACGCTCTTTTAGTGCTATGTCCTTTATTTCCAATACAAATACGTTTAGGTTTAGCACTAATACACTAAAATGAAAATCTATTATTCATGCTGTATGAATGGAGGGATTTGATTTTGCTATTATGTAAGGATACCAATTTTATTGGACCATCAAATTAATCAATGTAAACTTTATATTTAAATGTGATTTATACCTTGTGTTGATGCTTGATTTTGACACCAACGACTCGCATGTGCAAAGTGGTAAGAGAGTCTTTGAAATGACACATGATGGATTCATAAGATTTGAATATAGTGCTGAGATTATATATGTTTGCAGAAACATATATAATAGATAGACAAGAGAGATTTTTATAGTGGTTCGGATGCTTAAAGCGAATCATACGTCCACTGTTATATTATTATTCTCTGACTATTTCCATGATATTGCATGTAAGGCGTACAAAGATGGAGTAATACTTTGTTTACAGAGAAAAAATAATAAAGCTCAAATAAATGTTTTGTCTAGCTCTCATCTACCCAACCTCCCCTTTTACGAAGAGATGTACTCATTTATACACATTTGAGATCAATGTAATGAGTGTTTTTGCAAGTTGCCTTGACACATAGAGAGCTCTCATTCATCCTTATCTTAAGATGAGATAGGGTTGGTATAAAATATCTTTGAGGCAGTAAGGGTTTGACAGCTAGTACACTTTGTCTTTTAGGCACTTGTTAAGCTGACATCAGCTTGATTTTTTAGGCATAACTGAACCCCCCCACCCCCGTTTTTGGAGTGCGTAATCGTGCTTCAAAAACTCATGTCTTAGATCTGAATGGCTGTCGCACTATAGGCTGCAGTCTTGAATTGAAGAGTTTGAACTATGCTTGGTGCAATCGGGTGTTGAGAGCTAGGACTGCGATCTGAGGGCTTGGAGCTATCCGAAGTTGAGTGCGATCTGATAACTGACATGAAATGTCCAGTAGGTGAATTTCAGGAGAGAGCTGACGTCAGAAGCCCAAACGCACAACTTAGAGGCCTTAAACAGACAAGCAAACTTAAAACAACCATAACTTTTGATCCGAGAGGAGTTTTGGAGCCCGTAAGATATCCACGGAAAGCTTGTTTTGAGCTTTATGTCATGGCATCAGGGAACTTGGTTGAGACCATTTTTGCGCCAAAATCCACCGTTTTGGCATGTTTTGGGGCTGTTTTGAGTTTTCTACACGTTTTTTCTAACGTTGGCAGCTGGCCGCGATACAAGAACTGAGAATTGATCGCGATCCAAGAGCTGAGAACACGACCTGAGGCTATTCGCAATCTCAGAGCTAAGACCTGATCGCGATTTGAGAGCTAGGAGCTGATCGCGATCTGATAAGGGTTCGACCTGGAGTTTGAGGCGTGCGATATGAACGATCTGATGCATGTGATCTTAAGCAAACGATCGAGCTTATGAGCCCAATCAGAGAGTGTAAGGAGCTCGATTAGAGAGCATAAAGAGCTCGATCTAAGATCATAAGGAGCTCGATTTGAGAACTTGAGAGCTCTTTACAATCTGAGAGCTTGAGAGCTCTTTGCTATCTAAGAGTTTAAGGAGTTCATTCAGAAAATAGAAGGACTTCGATCAGAAAGCGCGAAGCTTGATCTAAGAACAAAAGAAGTTCGATCAGAAAGCGCGAAACTTGATCTGAGAACACAAGGAGTTCGATCAGAAAGCGCGAAGCTTGATTTGAGAACACAAAGAGTTCGATTAGAAAGTGCGAAGCTTAATCTAAGAACATAAGAAGTTTAATCGGAAAGTGCGAAGCTTGATATTAGAACTCGAGATCAGTGATCTAATTAGCGCTCGGAAGTGCGATCTGGTCACTCGAAAGCACGATCTAAATTATCTGAACGCGTGATCTGAATGATCTTGAACGCGCAATTTGGATGATCTGAGCGTACGATCTGCGATCTGGCCACACGATCCGAGAGCTTTGATGCGTGTGATCTAATCACGCCATCTGAGAGCTAGAGATCTAAGCAAACTGAGCGCGTGATCTCATCGATCTTGAACGTACGATTTGAGCGTGATTTTAGAGCTCTAATACGTGCGATCTGTGATTTGGCTATGCCATCTAAGAGCTAGATATCTGAGCGCGTGATCTCAATGATCTTGAATGCGCGATCTGTGATCTGGACATGCGATTTAAGAGCCCTGATACGTGTAATCTAATTACACCATTTTGAGAGTTCTAATGCGTGCGATCTGACCACACTATCTGAGAGCTCTGATACGTGCAATTTGCGATCTGGCCACACCATCTGAGAGCTCTGATGCGTGCAATCTGGCCACGCCATCTAAGAGCTAGAGATTTAAGTGCTTTGAGCGCGTGATCTCAGTGATCTTGAACGAGCGATCTGAGTCTGCAATTTGCAATATGGACACGCGATTTGAGAGCTCTGATGCATGCGATTTAATCACACCATCTGATAACTCTGATGCGTGCGATCTATAATCTAACCATGACATTTGAGAGTTCTGATGCATGCGATCTGGCCACACCACCTGAGAGCTAGAGATTTGAGTGCGTGATCTCAGCAATCTTGAACGCGCGATCTGCGATATGGACACGTGATTTGAGAGCTCTGATGCATGCGATTTGAGAGCTCTGATGCGTGCGATCTGGCCATGCCATCTGAGAGTTAGAGATCTGAGCGATCTGAGCACGTGATCTCAACGATCTTAAACGCCGATCTGAGCGTGCGATCTGTGATTTGAACACACGATTTGAGAGCTCTGATGCGTGCGATTTGAGAGCTTTGATGCGTACGATCTGATCACGCCAACTGAGAGCTCTGATGCCTGCGATATGCGATTTGACTAGCCATCTAAGAGTTTTGATGCGTGTGATCTGCGATCTGACCATGCCATCTGAGCGCTTTGATGCGTGCGATCTGACCACGCCATCTGAGAGCTCTGATGCGTGCGATCTGAGAGCTCTGATGCGTGCAATCTGCGATTTGGCCATGCCATCTGAGAGCTCTAATGCGTGTGATCTTACCACACCATCTGAGAGGTCTGATGCGTGCGATCTACGATCTGGCCATGCAATCTGGGAGCTTGGATGCGGGTTCGAGACCTGCATGGGCCACCAAACTGTTGATGCTTGGTTTTGACACTAACGACTCACACGTGCAAAGTGCTAAGAGAGTCTTAGAAATTACACGTGATGGATTCATGAGATTTGAATATGGTGTTGAGATTATATATGTTTCTGCAAACATATATAATAGACAAACAAGAGGGATTTTTATAGTTGTTCGGATGCTTAAAGCGAATCCTATGTCCACTGTTATTTTATTATTCTCTGACTATTTCCATGATATTGCTTGTAAGGCGTACAAAGATGGAGAAATACTTTGTTTACAGAGAAAAAATATTAAAGCTCAAATGTTTTGTCTAACTCTCATCTGCCCAACCTCCCATTTTACAAAGAGAGGTGCCCATATATAAACATTTGAGGTCAATGTAATGAGTGTTTTTGCAAGTTACCTTGACACATGGAGTGCTCTCATTCATCTTTATCTTAAGATGAAATAGGGTTGATATAAAATATTTTTGAGGCGGTATGAGCTTGACAGTTAGTACACTTTATCTTTTAGACACTTGTTGAGCTGACATCAGCCTGATTTTTTGGGCATAACACCTTGCATTAGAGATATAATCAGCTTGGTATTATTCTATTCTCATGGATAATGTAATTATATTTTAATTTATGTAAATAAATCTAGAATAGTTGTAGGGATTAATTATTTGCTAAATTTTAATCTACATAAGGTCATCGTACATCTTAATTTAATAATCAATAATGTTAGAGCATCTCCAATAATGTTTTTTAATTTAAAGAGCATCTTTTATATAAATAAAGAGTATTTTCATTAAAATATAAATATAAAGAACAATTTTTTTATTCAAATCCAATGGACTCTTTAAATTTAAAGAAGATGTTCTTTATTTTAAAGAAAGAGACTTAATGAGAAAGAGAATTCATAAATAAAATACATGAAACTTGTAGTTTACTAATTAAAATTAGAATAGAAAGTGAAATTTGACTCTTTAGATGTGAAGAGTCAAATTTACTCTTTAATTTATATTTAAAAGATAAAGAATATATTGGACTCTTGTTTTTGTAGATAGACTCTTTATAATAAAAAGTTTAAGTCATATAAAGATTAAAGAGTGATTGAAGGTGCTCGTTTGTATGTAACATTTTCCATACGGTCGACAAAATCATATAATTGGATAATTAAATAAGGTAAATTTGACTGGAAAATAAATTTAATTATTTAAGTGTTATATTTAAATATATTTATTGAGGAGTCAAGTCAGGAGTACGATTAAATGCTTTCATTAAGGCGGTAACGTTAAAAAAAAAAAATCTTAAATAAATAAGGAGTTACGAGAGGCGGTAATACAGCATTAAAATTTAAAATTGTGTCCAAACTGTCAAAGGGGGTTCTTGGGCAAAATTAGCCACAAGCATCCCAAGCATGGCGAAAACGAAGGATGTTCGAGCAATGTCATCTCCACTAACAACACGACACGAACACAAACCGAGCGCCAAGGAAGAAATAGAAAGAAGGAATAGCTTGTACACTTCACCTGCAATCTTTTGCTCTTTTTCACGCCGTGATTGCAGTTGGTTTACTCTGAATTTTTGTAATTTTGATCGAATATTGGAGTCAATTCCCTCTGAATTGCTTCACCAGAAGAAATTTCATCTGATAGGCTCCGTTGAGAATCGGAATGGTATATTAATTTGTATAATTCTATTCTCTTAGCTTTAAAGTAGGCGTTGTCATGTAATTTCAAATTAATCTAGGGCTTGTATTTATATTATTGTAGTGATTGCAGTTGGTTTCGTCAGAATTTATGTTATTTTGATGGAAGATTGGAGTCGGTTCCCTCTGAATTGCTTCAAAAGAAGAAAGTCCATCTGATCGGCTTCGTTGAGAATCAGAATGGTATATTAATTTGTATAATTCTATTCTCTTAGCTTTAAAGTAGGCGTCGTCATGTAATTTCAAGTTAATCTTGCCTTTGCATTTATATTATTGTTCTAAGCTGTTAAGATCCAGCAACTTAATTAGATGACCAATAAGAGATGATTTATTGTCTCTTGATTATGTAGTTCTAGCACAGATAATAATAACCAAAGCTATAAGAGTATTACCTGAACTGACATCTTGGTTAAAACCGTGATTTTGATGTGGTTCCATACCCTAGTAAGTTTGGGTTCTCTTCAACTTAACTAAATAAGTACCAATGTTATGTTCAATATGTTGTTAGTATTGAAGATATTGATGATCTTGATTGTTAGATGTTTTGATTTTTTCAAACAATAGATTAATAGATTGTAGACCATTTAATGTTTTTGCCATAAGCTTTATGGTAGCAAGCTTGTGAATATTGTCCACATGGAGTCTTTGTTTTAAATATCTTGGAGCTAACACGTTTGAATTTAGAGGCTCTAAGACTAGTATCAATACTTCTGCAGGTGAGAACTAATACAAGTAACTTGAATGCATAGAAATAAGTTCCTTTCTTTTCTTGATATTATCATCATTGTATGTTCATTATGTCAGATGAAGCATTGAGTTCTGGTATTTCTAAGACTTTGAATGTCTCAGGAGACTCAAGAAAACATTGTTGCTGGAACTCATATCTGGGTTGAAGATCAAGAATTGGCTTTTATAGATGGAATTGTTGTCGACGTTGTAGAACAGGAAGTTGAGATTCAAACAAGTGATGCGAGGACGGTAAGTTTAATTCTTATTGTGCTAAAACTTCATTCCTTTAAATCTAATGAGCTCTTTCCCTTTTTTTTTTTTGGTTTACCTGTCTTTCAATCCAATTTTCTCTTTTCAACCTGTTATCTTGTTGGTGCCTGGCTTGAAGGATTGGAAATAAATGAACTTCTTATCCTTCGGATTTGAACTACAAGGTTTTGGCAGTTGAATCCAATATTAACCCATGCTTCATGGGGCACTTGAACCAAGTTGGAGCTCCACTTATGTGCAATAGGGATTGAGAAACTGCTGGCACGCTATCTTGGTTACATGTTTTATGGTCCTGAATTTTGCTTTATCTGGGTGTCATTTGTGATGCCTCATTTCTTTAGCCCTTTTGGCTAGTTGGTGAGAGTTAGAGGAAGAGCAGGAATGCTGTTGCTTGAGTGTGGTCTTATTTTGAAGACCAATTCAAGAAAATTGTTAATTCAAAGCAGTTTTTCTTCAGACTTTGTTTTCCAAGCTCTATCTTCACTTTCTTTTCTGATTCTTGTTCCTTCTTTTCTTTCTTTTGGAATTTTTGGTACTTTTTGAATCTGAGTACAGTTTCTGTGGTGCTTTGTTTGTTTTCTTCCTCCGAAGTTGTAGCATTACCTCTTCTGGATTCTTAAGTTCCAATATTATTTATATGAGAAATCATCACATTCATATTAGTACTCATTGTGAAATCTGATTAGTTGTTTTATAGTTTTATTATTGCTATGGTGTTGCTAGATTTTTGCAAACTTATCAAAAGTATACCCAAAGGATGTAGAAGCTCCCGCTGGTGGTGTTGATGACATGACTAAGATATCATATTTGCATGAACCTGGAGTCCTGCACAATTTAGCAACCAGATATGAAATCAATGAAATTTATGTGAGATTGACTTTACCTTCACTGTCACTATTGTTTTTCCTTCTGAGAGCAGATGACTTATTACCACAATTATGGGCTGCTCTGTTATAATATTTTTAAAATCATGCAGACCTACACAGGAAACATTCTGATTGCAGTCAATCCTTTTCAAGGACTCTCAAATTTGTATGATGCTTATATGATGGAACAGTACAAGGGAGCACCATTTGGGAAGCTAAGACCTCATGTATTTGCAATTGCTGATTTTGCATATAGGTGATAATATAACTGCTTTTACTTTCTTATTAGTTATTTTTAAATATCAAGGAGATAGGTTGCTATATTTTATAGCTTTGAGCAGGACAATGTTTAATGAAAAAAAAAGCAACTCTATACTGGTCAGTGGTGAGAGTGGGTCTGGTAAGACTGAGACCACCAAAATGCTCATGCGATACCTTGCATATTTTGGTGGCCGTGCTTCCGCTGAAGGACGGACTGTTGAACAGCAAGTTTTAGAAGTAAGTTGGACAATCTATCTTTCTTATAAATTTATCAAGTTTCATCTGCAGTGTACTTTAGGACAAGAATAAAGCAATGTCTTCAGTTATAGTATTTAAGGCTTGAAAATTCTCAGTTTGACTAGCTCCTTGTACATATCTGACTAGGACAGAGTTACCCTTGTGGTAACTGATGTTATTCACTGTGCTGTTGTAGCGGATGGCATATATGTCAGAGTTTGATATTGCTAATAAACCTATGTTGGTGTTTTCTTGTTATGTGGTTTGAGTATTGAGGTGTGAGGTGCGGCTGAGACACCCATGCCTTGATGTTATGCATTTGCTTTGTTTATAAAAATAGGCATTTACTACAAGATTTAAGTACACCTCATGCTTGCTAGATTGTAAATTTCTTTAAGACATTCTCAACTTCCATAACTGGAATCTAGAATGAAATTTTCAATACATACTTGTCTGCTTTAAATTCTTCAAGTCACTCCTTTTCTACATAAAGAATTTGGTATTGAATAGGAACTCATTGTCAGCTTCATATAAGTTGGTTTAATTTGGTTTTAGCCTGGACCCATCTGAGGTTGTGTACTAATCGGTATGATGCAGTCAAATCCAGTTCTCGAAGCATTTGGCAACGCAAAAACTGTTAAAAACAACAATTCCAGGTATTAAACATTGATTTCTGCTTCAAATTTAATGTTTTCATTAAATAATGATTAGTAACTCCTTGTGATTGTCACTTTGCTAATTAATTGTATGTATAACTTTGAAGGGAAAATGCTATATATAGAACTTCTCCATCTATAAGAAGCACATTGTCTGAAGGTTGTGCTAATTATACCTATGAACTTTTAGTTATATTGAGGAAAATTAAAGTAGCTATAAGTAAACATTTCATGGTATCTCTGGCCACTTCTGTTAGGAATTTTTTTTTTTTTTTTTTTTTTTTGATGATTCAGGAAATGAATTGACTGCATTAACCATTCTTTCTCATTTATGTAGTAAGAATAGTGTTTTTTTTTTTTTTTTTTGGCTCAATTTTACAGCAGTTTGTGACTAATGATTGTTTGTTAAATACATTGGCACAGTCGTTTTGGGAAATTTGTTGAGATTCAGTTTGATAAGCAAGGAAAAATATCAGGGGCAGCCATCAGAACTTATCTTTTGGAGAGATCTCGTGTTTGCCAAATTTCAGATCCTGAGCGTAACTATCACTGTTTTTACCTTCTCTGTGCAGCACCACCAGAGGTAGGTGTCTTGATTGAAATTAAACTTCTTTTACTGGATATTTTCCTAGAGTAATTGTGGAAAATTTGTCATATCATTCCAGCTAATAGTTTTTAAGCCTTATCAGGAGATTGAGAGATATAAGCTGGGAAATCCCAAGTCATTTCACTATCTTAATCAATCCAAGTGCTATGAATTGGTTGGTGTGAGTGATGCTAATGATTATCTTGCAACAAGGAGAGCTATGGATATTCTTGGAATGAGTAAGAAAGAACAGGTATGGCTACAATAGTGCATTTTAATATATGTATAATGGAAGTGCTAAACATTTTTTTCTTTTCAAGTTGGAATAATCTCTCTGCCTTCCTCTCTCTCTCTTTCTGTTTCTCAGGATGCAATATTTAGAGTTGTGGCTGCTATTCTTCATCTTGGTAACATTGATTTTGCCAAGGGGGATGAAGATTCATCAGTTATAAAAGATGATGAGTCAAAATTCCATCTTAAAATGACAGCAGAGCTTCTCATGTAAGAACAGAACCTTGACAATATTGTGATTTAGTACTTCTTTTTCTTGTTTGAATTGTTACATTATTTGATGTCATCCTCAATTCAGGTGTGATCCTCATGCACTGGAAGATGCATTGTGTAAACGTGTAATGATTACTAGAGAAGAAATTATCAAAAAAAGTCTTGATCCACTTGGTGCGACAGTTAGCAGGGATGGCCTGGCCAAGACTATATATGCTCGCTTGTTTGACTGGTAAATGCTAACTTCTGATATTCTTTCCAGGTTTCATACTCATTGTACATCCGTGTTCATTCTTACTCCAGGGAAGGAATCCATGTAAAGGTGCCTCATTTTTGTATTATGTCCAGGTTGGTTGACAAAATTAACATCTCCATTGGCCAAGATCCTCGTTCAAATTGCTTGATTGGGATCCTTGATATTTATGGTTTTGAAAGCTTTGAAACTAACAGGTAATAATTGCTTACATATATTCCTTTCTCTCTCTCACCCCACACATGAATACACACGTACTATAAATTTTTTATATGTTTGGCTGCACAAAAGTCCATTTCTCAGACCCAATACTATCTCTTTGTCCTAACCTGTCAAAGGGTGCCTTGAGATGCTAACCTCAAATACTGAGATAACTTGGGAAGCCAAGCTGGTACCAAGGTTAGGTCTCTTGTAAATAGTTAAATGGTCTTGAGATTGAATCTTGCTTGGACTAGGCTTGGGTTAACTTTGAAAGATGGGGATGCCGGTGGAAAAATAAACAAATTAAAATACAGACACCCACTTGAAGCCCCAACAATACCACTGTATCAATGTTCAACAATTTTGAGAAAAGAGTGGTACATTTTCCAATTAATCTTAAAATGTACAAAGTAGTTGTAACCCTGCGGGAACCCTAATATTGAATTCTTATTTGCTTCAAAATTTCCCTCAAGTAGACAAATTGCTATATATGCTCCTCACATCTTCCCCTTCCATCTTTTGATCGGTGATGATGATCTCAAGCTAGCAGTAAGTATTGATCCTCTACCTTAACTGTGTTTACATTACCTTACCTGCCAGCTCTAACTTTTGATTATTATAATGTTCTTAAGATGACCCACCAAGGCTTCCCACACATTTTTTGTGCCATCATTCACGGCAATGTTGGTTGTGTCATTTGGTTCACAAAGCATAACCTACATGTGGCAATAATATTTGGCAACAAAGAGACCCAAGAAACCCTTTTTTTTTGGTTTGTTTGAAGAGAGAGAGAGAAATCATTTTTATTATGTTTTTAGAGAGAGCATTTTTATTATGTTGCTATGTCATTGATGGGAGAGGGAAAGTGGATAGAGAATCATTAACCCAATTCTTCTTTCTTAAACATAGTAAGATATGGGAGGCAATAGTATAGCAGTATTGCGTCTCAACAAAACCCATTCTCCACTCCTGTGAATTTCAATTATTGGACAATTGCAGTTTAGACCATGAAAGGGCGTGCTAGACCAAAAAAGAAAGGTAGTGCTGCAAAGCTTCAGCTGGAAAAATTTCTTCACTTTGGTTGTCTAGACTTGTAACCATTTTCTGGGTTTTCTGGATTGATGAACTAAATGTGTATTTTTTCTTCTGCTCTTTCTTTTTCTGCCCTTAACCGAACTTATAAAATATGAAGTAACATGTGTGTGGAATTATCTATATCTAAGTTGCACATGTACTCACACTTGAATTCAAATATATTATTCTTTGCAGTTTTGAGCAGTTCTGTATTAACCTTACAAACGAAAAGCTACAACAACATTTCAACCAGGTATGAGGTTAGTCATATTTGACAACTTTAAACTTAACTTAGTTTTTCAAGCTATAATGTGGATGTTAATGTTGCCATTCAGCATGTGTTCAAGATGGAGCAGAATGAATACTCAAAAGAGGAAATTGATTGGAGCTATGTAGAGTTCATTGATAACCAAGATGTGCTAGATCTTATTGAGAAGGTTATCATGCACTTTATCTTTTCTTTACCAGTTCTTAGGAAACCTGGTGGTATTATCTGTTCTTACTTTGCTGTGGACCTTCTTTCTATTTTTCTTCATTCCCATGAAGACTTGCTCTAAAGGTAAAGCGGGTCCTCTCCCATTTGAATACCAAATGGAAGGTATTGGTGTAAGCTCCACCTTACATTTCCTGAAATGTGATAGAATTTTAAATTGTCGAAATGAATCATGCTCTTGATCTTATTGAGAAGGTTTTCATGCTCTTATTTTTTATTTACCAGTCCTTATGAAACTTTTTGGTCTTATCTGTTCCTACTTTGCTGTGGACCTTCTTTCTATTGTTCTTCATCACCATGAAGACTTGGTCTAAAGGTAAAGCATGTCCTCTCCCATTTGAATACCAAATGGAAGGTATTGGTGTAAGCGCCACCTTATGCATTTCCTGAAATGTGATAGATTTCTAAATTGTTGAAGTCTCAAAGCATAAATATTTTGATGAAAAAGTCTAACACTATTGTTTAGTATCTCTTACTCTTGGAAGTGTAACCTTTACATGGTGGAACCTTGTATCTTTTATCCAACCCAAATATGGAGGACAGATTGTTGGTATTTTTTTAATGGTGTTGGGAGGGAGGGGATTGAAAAGGCACTGGCTTTACATGTACTTTACAAGGAGGTTTTCCTCATGTTGTATTACGTACAGTTCCTTTGGACCTTGACTGAGCTGATGGAATAAAAATAGAGTTATCCAATTGGCGCATAACATTACTTCTGGAATGATACTATTTATTTGATATTGTTTAATGGTATACATGTTTTTTTATTTGGTCCATGAAGTCTCGAATAATTTTATGTAAGCTATGACAATGGTCCACGAATAACTGGATGATGTCTAATTACAATGCCCCATATCTTGATATCTTGTATTTTATCATTTAGCTCTGTTGTTAACTCAGTAATTTAACTGTTAGTAGATGACCTGCTACATTAGATTTCATGATCAGGTTCCTAATTTATAGTGTTTCTGCAGAAGCCAGGAGGAATCATTGCTTTACTTGATGAAGCATGGTATGAGAAAACTTCTTTGCTCTTGCTGTGATCTTAGAGACATTGTTCTTGCTGAATTTGTGTTTTTGAAAAAATAAGTTTTCCACTCCATGCAAACTCACAATCAAACAAACAAAGAAGGCCAATATCAAGTTGAAACTGAATGTTATGCTCTTCTTTTATAAGGTCATCCTGTATTTCTAACCTGCTGACGAGGAATAATTTTTATTTATAGTATGTTTCCTAAGTCAAGTCATGAAACATTTGCACAAAAGCTTTACCAGACATTCAAAGATCACAAACGCTTCATAAAGCCAAAATTGACTCGCTCGGACTTTACTATCGTTCATTACGCGGGAGAGGTGAGTTATGGTCCGGGTATGTAGCTGTTTAAATTATTGTTTAGTTATGTGAGGGGCCATGCATTTTAGTAAATATTGTTCTGGTGCACTTGTTTTCAGGTTCAGTATCAGTCAGATCTCTTTTTAGACAAAAACAAAGACTATGTTGTTCCTGAACATCAGAATTTGTTGAGTGCTTCCAACTGTTCTTTTGTGGCAGCCCTTTTTCCTCCGCTTTCTGTGGAGACAACTAAGTCTTCTAAGTTTTCATCTATAGGTTCTCGTTTTAAGGTATCTTCTTTTCTATCATCTTGTATGTAATTGTGGTTTTTAATTATTTCTCAAGCTGTATCATACATCATCTACTTTTTATGCGCATACTATAAAAAGGTGAGACCTTATGTTATGACGTACTGCTGCAGCTACAACTACAACAATTGATGGATACACTAAATTCTACAGAGCCTCTTTACATTAGATGTGTGAAGCCAAACAATTTGCTGAAACCTGCCTTATTTGATAATATTAGTGTCATGCAACAGCTACGTTCTGGTGTAAGTACTAGTTGGCTTGTGTTTTACTATTATCTGTTGTTATTGGAATGTTTGTGTATTTTATTCTCATGATTGTTTTTGTAGGGTGTTCTAGAGGCCATTAGAATCAAATGTGCTGGATATCCTGCACATAGAACTTTCTCTGAATTTCTAGATCGATTTAGTATTCTTGCACCAGAGATTCTGAAACAGAAGTATGCTTTTTTTATGTTTCAAACAAATTGCGTCTTTTTTCTTGGTTAACTTGAAGTTGTTTTGGTTTGCTGGTCCCACATGACTGATTTTTCATTTTTTAAATTTGTTGCATTAATGAGCAGCTATGAAGAAAAAGATGCTTGCAAATGGATATTGGCAAAGATGGAACTTACAGGGTATCAGGTAATTGCTGGAAATAATGTTTTGTTTTTCCTTTTTGCAATATTAATACAGCATCTGATGATTTAAGAATTCAAATATGCATATTTGTGTCAATCATATATTATTGAAGTGCCTCAAAAAATGTGTATGATTTGACTACTCATGTTTTAATATACCTCCCATGGATGATAGATATTATATTCTATGGCAACAAATGGTTTTGCAGATTGGGAAAACAAAGGTTTTCCTAAGAGCTGGTCAGTTGGCTGAGTTAGATGCACGGAGAACAGTAGTACTTGGTGGTTCAGCTAAGGTTATTCAAAGTCAAGTTAGAACTCTTATTACTCAAAAACATTACAATGCTATTTGCTGCGCTTCTGTTCATATACAATCTTTTTGTCGAGGTGAGTTAATTGGTTGCTTGGTGACATCCTACTGTGTCTGACTGACAAAATGTTTTTGCTTCAGAATGCATGTTATCTAAGGAAATTAAATAATGAAGTGACAACTCATTATTTCAATTTTGTTTTGAAATCTTGACAAGCGTTAGCATGCGTAAAGTAGAAACTTTTGCTTTGACTTTCAATATAGTAGGCAAACATTGTTCGCCAACTGAAAATTTGTATGATAAGCCTATATTTTCTCATCTGATGCATATTGTTGGAAGGATCTGATAAGAATTAGATACCATTACTTCATTTATTTTGTTCTCAATCCCTATAGTTGGGCTTGAATCTGTTGCTCATATTAGTGGATCTTCTATGTCTTTTCGTGTTTATCTTTTGGTATCATAAACAGGGGAATTGGCTCGCCAATACTATACATACCTGAAGAGAGCAACAGCTGCTGTTAAAATTCAGAAGAATTTGCGAAGACTAGTATCAAGAAAAGACTATTTTAATGTAAAGGCTGCTGCAATTCTATTGCAGACATGCTTACGGACAATGGCTGCTCAGCGTGAATTCAGATATAGACGGCATGCTAGGGCTGCAGTTATTATTCAGGTTACTCCTCACCTGCATATGTAATGTTTGAAGGATATTCTGTGTTCTCCAAAAAAAGGTTTATCATTTTGGTAATTTCTTGCAGGCCCGTTGGGGCAGCCACAGAGCTTCTTCATACTATAAGAAACTCAGAACAGCATTGGTTTTTACACAAAGCAGATGGAGAGGAATAACAGCCCAGAGAGAGGTTAGGAAACTAAAAATGGTAAGTGTTAATTTAATTTTACTGATGAATAATTGATAAGAAATTTTTATTTCCACAATTTTATTAATCCAATGGGATCAGCTGAATGGTGTGCCCTTGATTCCCAATCAGCTGAATGGTCTGACCCTTGATATCTATTTAAAATCGGAGGTTTAAATACCCCAGCCTCCTGGGGCCACTTACCTGGGCTGGAGTATTTAATTTCATTTCTTCCATGACAACCAAGGTTGCAAGATACAGTAGTACTTCTTAGTTTCAAATTTGGTGGCCATTTGGCTTGGAAAAGAAAAACAACAAATCAATCATTTTATCATTTCCCAAAAAAAAAAAAAAAAAAAAAAAAAAAAAAAAAAAAAAACGACCTATTAGTTTTTAGCTTTGAGATTTTAATGCGAAATTTATCAACTGTAATCACCTTTATTATATTCTATTAACAACTAGATTCAAAAGCCTGTCTTATAGGTAAGAGCCTAGTATTAGTATTAAACTCTCTAACAGACCCTTTCATTTGTAACATGAACCAAACTCAAATTTAGAGCAATGTTTAATGTGCACCAAGCCCAAATTCAGATAGGACAGACACACCCAACTACAAATACTGCCACATGATACATGAGGATTTGAACTTAGGATCTTATCACTTTATCCAAAACTTTAAGTTTACGATAAAAGGGCCCAAAAATAGTATAAAGCTCTCTAACGAGGTCAGCCTTTGTACGCTATATTTAGGAATTCATGACAATGTCTAAAGGAATAGATATCACTTTATCCAAAAGTTAAGTTTACAATAAAAGGGCCCAACAATAGTATAAAGCTCTCTAACAAGGTCAACCTTTGTAATATATTTAGGAATTCATGACAATGTCTACAAGAATAGAGCTCTAGTAATCATCATGTAGGGAGGCAGATGTGGAATAAACCAGTGCAGAGCCCAGCTAACAGCAAAAAAATAAAACAATGAGACTGGTTATTTTTTATTTACTTATTTGTAGAAGACATGTTAATATAAGAAATGCATCGNGTAAGCCTTTGTACGCTATATTTAGGAATTCATGACAATGTCTAAAGGAATAGATATCACTTTATCCAAAAGTTAAGTTTACGATAAAAGGGCCCAACAATAGTATAAAGCTCTCTAACAAGGTCAACCTTTGTAATATATTTAGGAATTCATGACAATGTCTACAAGAATAGAGCTCTAGTAATCATCATGTAGGGAGGCAGATGTGGAATAAACCACTGCAGAGCCCAGCTAACAGCAAAAAAATAAAACAATGAGACTGGTTATTTTTTATTTACTTATTTGTAGAAGACATGTTAATATAAGAAATGCATCGCATGATGGAGCCAGAGGCTAACTGTTTACATCAGTAAAGCCTAATTAATACTGTGCAGTTTTTGGGGTCAATGATGGGTAGTAACGGTAACAATGGATGCCTTGGTTTTAGATTACCATAAAGATGGTTTGAGACAAATTACATACTGGACTGAGAGTTAGATGTTGCCCAAAGTCTTCAAACTCAGTGTTGGTGAGTTGTATCTGGCCTGTTCTTATCATGACAAATAAATAGTTAACACCATCAGAAGCAAGATTTTTGACTTCTCCTTCTAAGACATTGTTCCTATGACTTCCCTTTATCCTTATCTTTCTCCATCCCTCTGTCCTCTCTTCTATTTCTTTCTTTCTGTCTCTCTCCGCTCGCTCTAGATTTATATTAGTAGAATTGATGCCTAAAAAGTCCTTAGCAAGATGTGTTATTTTTTCCCCTCTTAGAGTTTGGAGCCATGTACACATTTAGAAGTTCTTGACCACTGCTTCACATAAATGTTGTCAATTTGGATTGTGATGATATAACCCTTTGCTCAGCTGATTGAATGATGATGAGATATCCATAGAAAAATTTTTACTTGACAATGTTCTTTGTTATTTATGGCTAAATGAAGTCAAAATCATATTTACAGACTGATACAAAAGAAGCGAAAGGAGAAGAGATATCAGATTTGTGGGATTCTCACCAAGCTGTGCAGTGTGAAGTAGATGAACTAAATGCATTGCATATCAAGGAACGTGAGGCTGCACAGGAAGCAAATGAACCATGCACTATGACCAGCAAAACCTTGATCGATGTCCAAGAGGCTGAGGTGGAGAATCATTCTAATCAAACTGAATTTCAGTTATCTGTGAAGGAAAGTGAGGGTACACCAGATGCAAATGAACCATGCTCAACCTACAAAACCTCGATTTCTGTTGAAGAGGCCGAAAAGATTGAAACTCTCATGACAGAAGTTGAGAAGATGAAGGTATCGATGATATGTTTTATATCTGTGCAATTATTTCATCATTCTTCTCAAACTGAATTTCAATTATCTGTCAAGGAATGTGAGGTTACACTGAAAGAAAATGAACCATGCTATATGACCAATAAAGCCATGTTTTCTGGCCAGGAGGCTGAAAAGATTGGGACCCTCACTGAAGAAGTGGAGAAGTTGAAGGTATTGCTGATATATTCAGTATCTCTACAATTCTTTCATTATTCTTCTCTAACAGAATTTCAGTTCTGTCAAACTAAACTTTAGGATTAAAAAAAAAGTACAAGAAACTTGGGAAAGAAATCTCTTTGCTGTGGTTTTACCAATCAGCTTCTTTTTTAAGTTTGCATCTTTCTCAAATTTTTGTTTGGATTTGGTAGTCAATCCTGTTCATCTTTCTTCTCTGTGCGACATTCGAAGCATGTATTTATATCCACCTTAATCTCTTCAATTATTTGTCTATGTGCGCACACAAATACACATCTTTGTTTAAACTGTGAGAGGTAAAGATACAGATCATTACGGACCACAATGTTAGAGGTTTATTAATGTATTTTACATGTTATGAGAACTTGGAAAGGTTAGCGTCCTTTCCCCAGCTTGTTATTTGAGTTGGAATGCCACATCATTTTCTTTGGTTTAAAAATTTACTTCTTCAGGCTCAGACTAGAAAATTTTAACCTTGTTATATTTCACAGGCCTTGTTGCGGGCAGAAACGCGAAGATCCGAGTATGCTGAAAGGCAATGTCTTGAAGCCTGGGAAGTAAGTGAGAAAAGACTTAAGAAATTAGAAGAAACTGAAAGAAGAGTTTATCAACTTCAAGACTCATTGAACAGGTATTGCCAATGTTGAACCCTTTCCTGTACAACCTTAATATTTTCCATTTCTGAATGTCTAATTTTAATATGTCATAGAATCCAACAGACTCTGTTCTCAACACAATAAAATCAGTCTTTATTGTTTGTCCGACAAAATGGCCTTGTTTGTGATCCTGATTCGCATGAATTCTGTTATATAGATTACATGTTGTTTGACTGATACTTATCTTATCTAGCATGTCTCAGGCTGTTATTTTGCATGTCAGAGCAATTTTCACAGCTGAAGACGATCTTACGTTCTTCATTAACATCGACTTCATCTTCTCGACCCATTATTCGGGAGGAGCATTCTGATACTTCGGATAACTCTGATGCTTCATCATCTGACTCTGATTTCACTTTTCCAGCTCCAGTTCTTACCTCTGCTAACTTCTCTTCATATAAACCCAATGCCCTTCAGCTGATAGTGCAGGACCTTTCAGCCACTGAAATTACAGGTCAGTTTTTCTTTCTTTATGTGAATGTAACTCAAATTTGGATTCTGCTGCAACTAGCCACGTGGTAGGGTGAACTTGTTGACAGCTTTGGCTTGACATAGGAGAGCTCTTGGGAACTCTTACTCTTGTTGACAGCTTTGTCTGGAACTCTTACTCTTGGGAAGAAAAATCGCCCTATTTAGCAATTATACTCTTGCATCTGTTGTAATTTTGGTCCATTGCTGTTATACGTTAAAGTTAGTTGTCAATCTTGGTTGAATAGGATGTGCTGATGGCAACTGTCTTATACCTCTTTGTCTTGCTGGTTACATTCTGCAGGATGTGAGAAGTGGGACAAAGGCAAAGAAGCAGCGTTTGATGATTACTTCTGATGGAACGGATTGTTATATTCATTTCTGTTCTTTCTAACTTAGATGTTAATATAGTCATGTGTCTGTTGGCATCTTAGACTAGGCACCTTTTACTCAAATGATTTGTTATATAGACTTCATACAAGATCTTAGATGGACCATTTCTCTCGGGGTGCTGTAGATTAACTAGTCAGGTACTTCTATCAAACTATCAATTCAGGAAAAAATAGATTAGTATTAGCAGTTTGCAAATATTCATATGTTCATTGGTTATTTTAATAAGGAGTGAAAGTGCAGGACTGCCGTATGCTAAAAAATTATTCAGAATGAATCTACTCTGCCCCACATTGTGTCTTTACTTTTATATGATTTATGAATCATGAAGTGGTAATCAATTCTGCATCATGCTTTGTCAAACTCAAGGGATCATTCAGCGATAAAGAGAGGACTGCATCAATGAATTTAGGAGATACAGCAAGAGAGCACTGAAGGGCACACATTTTGTTGCCTGTCTGATTTGCTGCCTTGCAGAAAGCAGATGATCTGAAACAAGCAGACCAGACAAGCATCTCTGACTGAATAATTTAAAACATAGGCTACACTGTTGAGGTTTGATTTGCTCAATCCTGTGTTCTGAGTATAATGCGGCTCATCACTTTTTAATATGGCAGGTCTCTTTTAAAATTTGAGAATTATTTTGTAAAGTAAACGTAGAACAATATTTTAACCTGTTAGAAGCTATCACATGTATCATCATCTCCTTTGCTCTTAAAGAATATTTTTTTTTTTTTTGGAGGCGTCGATTACTACTACATCGGTGACCAAACTACTCTTAAGAAAAATTAAAGCTATTTCTCTATATGAAATTCATGTTTTCATCGGTAAAATTCTATGTTGAACTTAAATTTTGTTTTATGTTTGTANTAGGCTACACTGTTGAGGTTTGATTTGCTCAATCCTGTGTTCTGAGTATAATGCGGCTCATCACTTTTTAATATGGCAGGTCTCTTTTAAAATTTGAGAATTATTTTGTAAAGTAAACGTAGAACAATATTTTAACCTGTTAGAAGCTATCACATGTATCATCATCTCCTTTGCTCTTAAAGAATATTTTTTTTTTTTTTGGAGGCGTCGATTACTACTACATCGGTGACCAAACTACTCTTAAGAAAAATTAAAGCTATTTCTCTATATGAAATTCATGTTTTCTTTCATTGGTAAAATTCTATGTTGAACTTAAATTTTGTTTTATGTTTGTACTTTGTACGCTCAAGTTTTCAAGGGACTCAATTGTAAATTGAAGGCATATAGCTGTCTAATTTGGTCCCCTACCCTTACCTTACCCTATAATTGATTTCACTCAACTACTAAACTGTCTGCCATGTTAGTGTATTTTTACTGTATTGCGAGTTCTCATCGCTTATTTATGTTCTTTCCTGCTTACACTTATAGCTAATACAATGGTTAGAGATGAATTGTTGAAGACGTTAAATCTAAACCTACAAGATGTTCCTACTATCGCAGCAAATTGTACTTACCTAAGATATACCCGAATATGATTAAGAATCTCACAAGGTTTAAAAAGTGATACTTACACCCCTTAAACTGATAGACATAAGTGAGATTTAACACAAGGCAAAAGAATCTCAAGTACAATGACATTTTCACTCTCCGTTGCAGTTACTTGATTTTGAGGTGTTGAGAACTTGAGATAAACTAGGGTGTGGGAAATTGATTTTGATGTTACAGAAAATGACCAAAGAAAGAGCCCTGGCATCTCTCATCTTCACATAACTGCTGTTGAATTCAGGGGTGTAAGTATGAGTTTTCAAAATAAAAGGGGTTCTATAGTTTAATAAACTTGAGAAGTGTCAATGTGATGATCCCTCATATCAAACCACTTTTAGATACAGGCGGTCTATGTCACAGTAGTTGAGCAAACCACCTCTTCATGTCCCATAGGAAAATACATGATGGGATCCATCAAATTCAATGTTTGCCATGCAGACAAATAGAGTAAATAAGTTTTTATATTTATTTTTGAATTATCTTTTCACAGCAAAGAGACATTTCATATGTGGAATTTAACAATCTCCAACCTTCTGTCCTTGAAAACATCATGACATTCTTTAATGCATGCCTGAAAAGAGAATATATACCTTCGTTATAAGAATAGTTCAACCGCATAAGGCCACTGTATCTGATCTTCCATTTTATAAAATCTCATCACCAAATCACAGCTTTGATCAACATAATTAAACCCCTTTGTTCATTTTCATTAATCTGAGTCTCATAGAATCTGGGATTTTTTGATATAACAAAATTAAAAAAAAAAGTACGCAGAAACTCTGAAACGGATTCTTTTACATTTCAAAAATCAAAAGTAAAATTGATTTTTAGCCATTGAGATATCTCCCACATTAAATTAGCAGTTGCTTTTAATTTCGATTCAGAAAAATGAAAGTGAAACAGAAATATTATGTGTGATCCAAAAACAGACTGCATATCGTCCGTAAATAACGAAAAGACATAGTGGATGATATGTCATCATTGTGAAAGAAATACAATCCATATCTCAAAATAATACGATGTGTCTTCCCAAATTGCAGACGGCATATCGTGAATACGAGATAAAAGTGAACAACATGTCGTACACTTGTTGCAACAATATTGTTAAGAGCAATTATAATAACCCCAAAACGTCAAACTATCTAATTAACACTCTCCTATATATGGTTCTTAATTTCTTAAATCTTTATTGTTAGTAGATGTTTTTCAAAAGTTACTCGCCGGTACAATACAACACAAAGGAAGGACTGCACACCCTCTTGTCGTTGTTTCATATTGCATTATTTACTTTTATCAAAAAAAAAAAAAAAAAATCAAACTGTTTTAAAAAGTTGTAAAACGTTAAAAACATTTATTGATTGCAAGGAAGTTCTGCAAGATTTCTACTAGATTTGGCTTAAAGGAACATATCGCTGCCAAATTAAGCTTCTACATTACATGAAGCAATATCCAGAAATAGTATCAGACATCTGCAACAGGTAAGTCAAACTATTGTGATTTACATCAGAGTTTCTAATCTACTGGCTTACAATTTTAATTTATTAAAGACTTCATCTTGTCTATATGAATATATCAATCCTAGCTTCTTAATTACTCACTTATTCCTCACTTCCTCTGACCTCACCATATATAAATTTAGCTATTAGGTTTCACCACTGTATATGTTTCAGCTGATCATCTCAGTGAGTCCTCTCTCTCTCTCTCTCAACTTGTGTTCTTTAGTTATTTTTTTTTTTTTTTTTTAATTTGGAGTCTGATCTTTCGTTTTTTCTTGTTTGTTTGGATCTTTTTTAGGGTGGAGTTCTGAACGTACCATGGAGAAGAGTACTTATCTGCGGTGTAACAAGTTTTTTTTTTTTTTTTTTTAATTTGGAGTCTGATCTTTCGTTTTTTCTTGTTTGTTTGGATCTTTTTTAGGGTGGAGTTCTGAACGTACCATGGAGAAGAGTACTTATCTGCGGTGTAACAAGGTTAAAGACAAATGGGAGTGTGAGAAATTTAGTTTTCAAGGTGATAATTCATTTGGGTTAACATGGCCTCCAAGAAACTATAACTGCAGCTTTTGCAAGAGAGAATTCAGGTCTGCTCAAGCTCTTGGTGGTCATATGAACGTTCATAGAAGAGATAGAGCCAGGTTGAGACAGTTACCTTCACCTGTTGTTGAATTTCAGAACCCTAAATTTAACTCTAACTCTAACCCTAACCCTAGTTTTTCTTCTTCATCATCTCCTTCATCTAAGTTCTTACCATTCCCTTACTCAACTAAGTCCTTGCTTTCTCCCTCTCTCACTTCTTTCTCTTCATCATCCTCAGCCTCTACAAATGAGGAAAAGAAACGATTACTTGAGTGTACTGGGCGAGATGCTTTGACCCCTCGATGGGGAGATGTATCTAAGAAGAAGAACATGAAGGCTGAATGGGCCGGGAAATTGAAGGGTTGTGCACACAAAGTTTCCAGGAAAGAGGAAGTTATTAGCTTGGACTTAGAGATGGGGTTAAAAGATCCCAAAGAAGTTTTAGATTTGGAGCTTCGGCTTGGGCATGTTTAAGTGCAATCTTCACCAATTCTCTGTGCCATAATCAAAATATTTGGCTTTGAATTTGGTTCTCTTGGTGCAATCTTTTGTTTACCTTAGCTCGATTAATGTTTCCGTACACTAGTATTATGCAAAGGGTATGTCAAAAGGCATTGAGAAGAAAGAAAATTAAAACCACGTCCCTTTACATATTCCATTTTGCTTCTCTTCAGTCTTAAATCTCAGTACTAGATTATGTATGTATCGGAAGATTAATTAAGATCCAATTTATGTTTACATTGTGGCTTAACTAGAAGAGTTATGTTGTCTTGCCACCGAGCTGGCATTTCCTTTCTTCACTGTTGCTTTAAATAGCTAATTAATTGGTTGATGTCCATATGTTTTTCGTGAATGGTAGCTATCATAACAGCTTAATCTTGAATTTTCATCTTAATTTAAATGCTACCATTATGATTAGTACTATAGGTGGGACTGTCTTTGTTAATTAGGTTAACTGTAACATAGTGAAGATAGAGTTGTTGAGATATCATCACTCCTCATTATTCATTGTTCCTAAGTGAGATGAGGATGCTATGTTTATGGAAGATATGTATGTTTCTTCTCGAGACTGTTCTCCAGGTTATGCAAAGTATATTCCTTCTTCTAAAGCTCATTCTTTCACTCCCTTTCCTGGAAACAAGATTAAAGAGATACAAAAATCAAAAACAAAAATTTGGATAAAATGGGAAGAGAGGTTGTATGTGATGTTTCTTTTTATTAATATTATTATCGCTTTATTTATTTGATATCTTTTTCAGAAGTCAACCCTTGTGCTTCGTTTATATCTATAAGCCTGAATCTTAATACACACAGGTCAAATAGTGCTTATGTTATATATGTATAGTTTTTCTTCTTCTTCTTCAAATTGTTATACTGTTATACATTATTGCTTTATTAGATGACATTGTTTCATTTAGTAATATATCAACATTTATTGAAGATGAACGATCCATTATCTGACTCAAACGAGTCTAATTTATTTTGCCCAGTTTCATTATTAGTTCATTTTGTAGCCATGTATACAAATGTATATATAGGGTCAACATACAATTTATTAGCATGCATTCTGATGGAGCATCCACAACTCTTTAAGACTAATAATTCGTAAGGTGTAGAGACTTCAGCCAAATTGGGTGTGAAAATTAAGAATGAATATCAATTACAAATTATCTCGCTCTAATTAAGCATTTCACCTTATTAAAAATATTATAAATCAAATATATAGTTTAATTAAATCACCCCTTTAAACCACAGACGTAGGGACTACTACTTCTATTTCCAAGCACCAAGAACAGTGTGAACGTACAAAAAAATTAAATACCATGATGATTACATGGGAGGGAATTAAGTAATTAGAATTCACAAAATCAATGTACTATCAAGAATTGAATTGAGTGAGGGATATAAAAGGACAAATATTAAATTCCACAAAGGATGTCAGGTGAGGGTATTTAAGAATACAAGTTCATCAGTTGATGGCAGTAGCTGATCATGATCTCTCTCAATTCTCAAAGATGAGATTGCCAAATTAATGCAGAGGGGGATTTGAATTGAATTAAATTTGCGTAGTCCAATGATTCTAAAGTGGTGTTATATTGTTTTGATATTGTATTTTCCAACATCTGGGCATTTGCATGTTCCCCACAATGTCTGGTGTCAGTAACATGATGAGCTTTCCATCTTAAGAAAGAGACAGATTTTTGTGTGTGGAAACCAAAACAAGAAGACTTCAAAACAATACTCACTCACTCACTTTAGTATTACTGTAAAAAGAAGGGGGAATGAGTGGACTGTGAAATGGCAGTAATGGGTCAAAATGAGGTCACCAAAGGTAATAAAAAGATGGTAAAGCGAATAGACATCTGCCTTCACAACAGTACACTATGTCTTTGTGAAAGACAACTGAGCATGCCATAAAGGAACCTAGTCGGCGCACGTCACCATCTTCATCCATTCATTCTCTCACATTGCTCTTGTTCTTCATTTGCTTTTGAGTTTTCTTTTTTCACATTTTCAAAGAAAAAGTGCCACTATTACTGATAAGAGCTTGTAACTTTTCTTTTTTAGATGCAGGGGGCATATATGCAAGAGGGATGGACCCAAGTCCAATGAAAAGTTGAAGTCTAGCCCAATTGTATCAGACCACCTTGGGACCCAGGTCCCAGTCCACCGTATGGCTAAAACAATTACCTTACTTACAAATACAAAGAATTGACTAGAAAAACTGAAAATGACCACCCCACATCCACAAGTCGTTTAAGTTTTGCATCGGCAGCGTTCAGCATGCTGTACAATTTTTACTATATATCCGAGTTTACTTGATTGATTGGTTCAGGAAATGAAGTCCATACTTCTCGGTCTTTCTTCCTAAGGAGAGCAGACTTCTTTACAAATCTTAAACGTAGTCAGCCTACAATAGTTATTTGATTAATTTTTTTTCTATATGCTTTGAGCAATTGTGAACTATAACATGATCCCATTTCATTAAAATAAGGAATTCATTTGATTGCCAAGCGTGTACAGTACAAACGTGGAAAACCAATCCCTTTTTTCCTTCTCTTTTCGAATTTTCAGTGGTTGATCAATTTAGTTAGTGATGGAAATCATGCTTAATCGCCAAANTTCTTCTCGAGACTGTTCTCCAGGTTATGCAAAGTATATTCCTTCTTCTAAAGCTCATTCTTTCACTCCCTTTCCTGGAAACAAGATTAAAAAGATACAAAAATCAAAAATAAAAATTTGGATAAAATGGGAAGAGAGGTTGTATGTGATGTTTCTTTTTATTAATATTATTATTGTTTTCTTTATTTGATATCTTTTTCAGAAGTCAACCCTTGTACTTCGTTTATATCTATAAGCCTGAATCTTAATACACACGGGTCAAATAGTGCATATGTTATATATATATAGTTCTTCTTCTTCTTCTTCAAATTGTTATACTGTTATACATTATTCGATAATATATATCTACATGGTGACATTGTTTCATTCAGTAATATATCAACATTTATTGAAGATGAACGATCCATTATCTGACTCAACCGAGTCTAATTTATTTTGTCAAGTTTCATTATTAGTTCATTTTGTAGCCATGTATACAAATGTATATATAGGGTCAACATACAATTTATTAGCATGCATTCTGATGGAGCATCCACAACTCTTTAAGACTAATAATTCGTAAGGTGTAGAGACTTCAGCCAAATTGGGTGTGAAAATTAAGAATGAATATCAATTACAAATTATCTCGCTCTAATTAAGCATTTCACCTTATTAAAAATATTATAAATCAAATATATAGTTTAATTAAATCACCCCTTTAAACCACAGACGTAGGGACTACTACTTCTATTTCCAAGCACCAAGAACAGTGTGAACGTACAAAAAAATTAAATACCATGATGATTACATGGGAGGGAATTAAGTAATTAGAATTCACAAAATCAATGTACTATCAAGAATTGAATTGAGTGAGGGATATAAAAGGACAAATATTAAATTCCACAAAGGATGTCAGGTGAGGGTATTTAAGAATACAAGTTCATCAGTTGATGGCAGTAGCTGATCATGATCTCTCTCAATTCTCAAAGATGAGATTGCCAAATTAATGCAGAGGGGGATTTGAATTGAATTAAATTTGCGTAGTCCAATGATTCTAAAGTGGTGTTATATTGTTTTGATATTGTATTTTCCAACATCTGGGCATTTGCATGTTCCCCACAATGTCTGGTGTCAGTAACATGATGAGCTTTCCATCTTAAGAAAGAGACAGATTTTTGTGTGTGGAAACCAAAACAAGAAGACTTCAAAACAATACTCACTCACTCACTTTAGTATTACTGTAAAAAGAAGGGGGAATGAGTGGACTGTGAAATGGCAGTAATGGGTCAAAATGAGGTCACCAAAGGTAATAAAAAGATGGTAAAGCGAATAGACATCTGCCTTCACAACAGTACACTATGTCTTTGTGAAAGACAACTGAGCATGCCATAAAGGAACCTAGTCGGCGCACGTCACCATCTTCATCCATTCATTCTCTCACATTGCTCTTGTTCTTCATTTGCTTTTGAGTTTTCTTTTTTCACATTTTCAAAGAAAAAGTGCCACTATTACTGATAAGAGCTTGTAACTTTTCTTTTTTAGATGCAGGGGGCATATATGCAAGAGGGATGGACCCAAGTCCAATGAAAAGTTGAAGTCTAGCCCAATTGTATCAGACCACCTTGGGACCCAGGTCCCAGTCCACCGTATGGCTAAAACAATTACCTTACTTACAAATACAAAGAATTGACTAGAAAAACTGAAAATGACCACCCCACATCCACAATTCGTTTAAGTTTTGCATCGGCAGCGTTTAGCATGCAGTACAATTTTTACTATATATCCGAGTTTACCTGATTGATTGGTTCAGGAAATTAAGTCCATACTTCTCAGTCTTTCTTCCTAAGGAGAGCAGACTTCTTTACAAACCTTAAACGTATTCAGCCTACAATAGTTATTTGATTAATTTTTTTTCTATATGCTTTGACCAATTGTGAACTATAACATGATCCCATTTCATTAAAATAAGGAATTCATTTGATTGCCAAGCGTGTACAGTACAAACCTGGGAAACCAATCCCTTTTTTCCTTCTCTTTTCGAATTTTCAGTGGTTGATCAATTTAGTTAGTGATGGAAATCATGCTTAATCGCCAAAATACACAGTGCCTCTTCAACCTAGCCAAAGGCCTAAAGCATAATATTAGATTTGAAGGTAATCAAGGTAGAATATAAATTACATAATGGTGAACTTCTCGTCCTGAGAGTGATAAAACATATAAAAATATCTTAATAAATATATATAACTTGCTGGCTCTACCTAAACTATTTTTAAAAAAAAAAAGGATTCCGAATTTCTCGTCTAATTTATAATTCACAGGAACCAAACATATCTAAGAAAAAGCTAAGAAGAAACCTAAAACTATTAATTATGAATAACAAGGGCAAAGGAACAAGAGTTGGCAGCACTTTAACAAAAACTGGTTAATAAGGTAAAAGACAAGTGATTTGGTTGAGAATTAAAAGTAGTTGCAGCACTCACGTTGTTGTCGTCCTTGTTCTTGCGATTGTCCATGTCTCTTCCTCTTACAATTTTCTTGCAGACTCAGTCAAATCCAACATCTTATGATACCTTAAACCCATTTCTTATACATATACATACATGAACCCAGGACAAAATCCTACAACAATGAATTTGATCTAATCAATGATCATCATTTATAAATATAAGTTAATTCTGTCCGTTCATTCTTTTAAACCACTATGCTTCTTTTTGTCTCCCTCATCAGAAAAGGGAAATTAAATATTTTATGGGCAAACAGAAAAGGCTGAAATATTACCATGTTTTTGTCCATGATATAACTTAAACAGGACATATATATGATGCTATATAACGTTAATTTAAGTTTGGTTTAAAATTTTGAGGGTGGAGGTATTTATTAAAATTGGGGTTAATTAGCCGTGGTACAGTTCAGTCAACATACGCTGATTTTTAAGAAAGGGTTAGATTGATAATATATTTTTTTAGTATTAATTCTATCATTCTCAAAGATGAATAAGTCGTCTGACCCAAAAAAGAAAAAGGAAAACGTTTAGAAAGAGCTGGAGATTGGCAGGCACAAATCATAAAAAAATGTATTGGTGGCACCTGTCTTAGTGCTGCCATTTTCCATGCAGACTCATTTCTACACGAAAACCAACTGCTTAATATCCCTGCCCTACTCTTTAATAAAAAAAAAATTCGGCCTGCAGNCATGTTTTTGTCCATGATATAACTTAAACAGGACATATATATGATGCTATATAACGTTAATTTAAGTTTGGTTTAAAATTTTGAGGGTGGAGGTATTTATTAAAATTGGGGTTAATTAGCCGTGGTACAGTTCAGTCAACATACGCTGATTTTTAAGAAAGGGTTAGATTGATAATATATTTTTTTAGTATTAATTCTATCATTCTCAAAGATGAATAAGTCGTCCGACCAAAAAAAGAAAAAGGAAAACGTTTAGAAAGAGCTGGAGATTGGCAGGCACAAATCATAAAAAAATGTATTGGTGGCACCTGTCTTAGTGCTGCCATTTTCCATGCAGACTCATTTCTACACGAAAACCAACTGCTTAATATCCCTGCCCTACTCTTTAATAAAAAAAAAAAAAAATTCGGCCTGCAGAATATAAATATGTGTATGCGAGAGACAGTGAGAGAGAGATAGAAGAAGCTGCACCAGAATTAAAGGATTTGTATATGAGACTAAACACGTACACGTTATATTTATCAATTAGTTTTTATCTCGAATAGCAACAAAATGTTGCTTCTTGAGATCAATCAAATTAAGCTTTTGCACATCTAAGATAACAGCCAGCTCTAATCTCTATTTGATATATAAGTGGAGTTGGTAGCTTTCAGATTAAATTTCTAATATCTATTTCAATGTCGTAGGCGACCAAGAAAGACAATAATATAATAGCTTTTTCTATTATATATAATTGATATATAGGTCACATAATCAAAACTCTCAATTAATTTAACATAATTATATATTCAATATATATCAGTAAATAGTAAAGTTTATGAAATTAAGTGATTTTGATTGTGATGAGTGATGACTAGATGGAAGATGACGGTTGTTTTCCGTTAACATGGTGCAGGAATAGCTTTTAGTTAAAAGACAAGTATAAAGTACAAAAATACACTGTTTCTTGATTTCTCATAGGAAGGTTCCTGCATCTTTCCTACCCAATCTAATAAGCAGGGCCTAATCTTAGCACCATCAATTCATGGTTATGTACTTGCAAATTTATATTTCTGCCATGGGTGTGTACTTTTTAATGAATTTCTTTGATTATATTCCACATTTACTTGGTTTAATAGTACTAATTTGGCTCTAACATCAATATGTGATGTTGTCGATTAATGAGCAATGAATTAATACCTGTATTCATTTGGTTAAAAACATGCAAATTTCTCAGTAATGTTGGAAATTGGACGTTCTTTATGTAGTATCAGCAAAGAACTTTAATTCTGTTTTACTATATATATACACACTAAAAAATTAAGATGCATCATGATATGTGGTTATGGAAATTTGGGAGTATATAATTATAATCTGTTATATTTATCAGTTATCTGTAAAAAAAAAAAAAAATTCAAAATTTATGAATATACACATCACCAGATTGATATACAAATGGCAGGCATAGATAATATATAAATGATGTGATAACTGTGTCTTATCAAAGCCTTATTTCAACTAATTCAAAAAAGTTTTACCCATAGTATTAAGAAATGTCTTAACGTACGTGTTTATAAGTAGAGATATTGACAGAAGAGAGAGATGAGATGAGATGAGAGATATATAAATGACAAATGAAAGAGCGCGTTAAGGAAAACATTAGATGATGATGAAAGCAACAAGAGCACTATTACGGACGGAGACAAATTATTCAAAGAAAATATTAAAAATACTGTAATTGTATCCTAAATATATAACTGCTGCCGGCTAACAGAGAAGTACTTTTCTTAGCAAACATCTAAGACTTCTCTCTCTCAAAATTCACATAGGTAATGACTATGTCGTTTATTTGTCTCTACTTGTCTCACCTAAGCATCCTTCTCATCTCTTTCTCATCGCTATAACATCCTCTCTCTCTTTCAATTCCTTCCTCCAGAAGAAACGTACGTTTTGAGTGAAATTTATAATTTAAGTCTTGTGTCATGGAATCCAACCCTCAAGAAGATTCAAAAAGCTCAAGCGAAGAAACTGATCGACCAGAGCAAGCAAACGATGATATGGGCACTGGCCGATCCTACGAGTGTGTCTTTTGCAAGAGAGGTTTCACTACGGCTCAGGCCTTGGGTGGGCACATGAATATTCATAGAAAAGATAGAGCAAAGAACAGGCCTACGTCACTTCCTTCTTCAATTTCGGGTAAAGCGGATCATGAGAGTTATGCAAATTCTATATCCTATGCGACTGTCCAAAGCTACCCACCTCATTATGCTATGGCTCCTGAGGTACACTATCAAACATTTTTTCCGGCATCATCGTGGGCTGAGAGACCGCTCCCTACGCATCATAGCAATGACTACTCTTATGGAAGAAATCCACAACATATGAATCCATTTGGAGATGATATTTCGCGAGGAAATCTCGGCTTGAGAGTCGGCCCTTCCCATGTAGCTGATGAGAAAGATAAGAGAGTAGGCACAAGTGAAGAAGATGAACTAGATTTGGAGCTTCGACTTGGTCATGATCCGTAGTATTTTATTACATATATATAATATCTATGAGTTATATATATGTAGTGGTATTTGTCATCTTGTACAGATGTGAATTGCTTAAGAAATTCGATGTTTCTTATGTGGGAAAGATTCAAGATTGTGAATAAGTTCGTATATTTTTCGCCTCAATAAGTATGTTTAAGCAAATCTTTATGCAATTTCAGTTGGTTGAGGACATGGAAGGAGAAGTGATAAGATGAATGCTTTCACAGATGCGATTTCCCGGAAGGAAGACATGGGAACTGATTCTATATCAACTACCAGCTACAGATTTTGAAGGTAGCTTTTGTTTCCTCCGTCTATTGTACGCATTAAAGCCTTATTTCATTAGGGTTTTGTTTGATGTTCTTCTTTTGTTATGCACTCGCTAGTATCTTTTTTCCCCTACTTTGATCTGGTTCATACTAGACTAAGAAGAATTTTGTATAATTTCAAGTTTGATGAAGTTCGATTCTCTTATGATCGATATGATAGCAATACCGATAATCAGAATTTTCTCTTTCATGCTGATAGAATAGAGAATTGCTCAAATAACCCACAACATAATTTGCAGTACTTATGTCGCAGTTTTGATTTCTTAGTAGCCCTAATTAATTGCTTGTTTAGAAAAGGGAGGAAACGCTATGATAAAAGATTAACCACCATCCACGGGATACCCCTGTCCATTATTCATGATTGCCCCATAAATAATCATGTAATGAAGCTTGTAATTAATTTCACGTACAATCTTAGTTACATTGTGTCTAGTAGCTTTACATTAAATGAATTGAAACCATTTGCATCCCGATAGCTTTATTTTGTTGTTTAATCCAGCTCAACCATCACATCATGTACCATTAATTACGAGCTGAGATACATTAGTAATTAAATTTCACACTTCTCTAAAGAGAGTACTACCGTAGTGTCTCTGTGCGCGTGCAAAAGGCTTACGAATATATCGATGAATTGGGTTTGAATTCCTTATTAATATTGTCTTATTGTTAATATGTTTTTTCGTCGTTAATCTCTTAGGATCGGAAACTTTACACTTGATGTATTGCATGACTAGAGTCATGTTTTCACCCCAAATCATGGATCCTGTATTATATTTGAGGGGAAAAAAGAAACTGCGGGCGCATGAAATAAAAGAGCACATATAGTTACTTGAACTAGGTTTAATAAATAGAAGAATGAAAAGAAAATCAGATTTCTAAGTAGTATAAGACCAAGAAGAAATTAAGTTCTGATAGAATTTAAGGTGGGTCTTGACTCCTCATCCAATAAAGCTTTGTTGAATGGGAGGATTACCCCCTCTTATAACACAATAGGGTTGAGTGTGCCTAATCGGTGTAAGACTCTAACACTTTCCCTCACGGTCAAGCCCATATGGTGGGTTATGCTTATTGATGGAGGTAGTTGCTGGCTCTAACTTCTTACCCGCTGGTCAAGCGCTCAGCTCAATTGAATTTGTCTCTGATACCATGATAGAATTTGAGGTGGGTCTGATTTCTCATCTAATAAGGTCTTGTTGAATGGAAGGATTATCTCCCCTTATAACCCAATAAGCTTGAGCGTGCTTAGTTGGTGTGAGACTCCAACAAGTTCTTTATGCTTACTCTTTATTAAAATTCAAATGGAAGATTAGATGATTACAAACCTCTAGATTCTTGGTAGCTAAAATATTTCCCATTCAATATTTTGATTTATCCATTGTGGCTCACTGGCTTGTATTTTCTGATGACATGCCTGTAATTTTAGATGCACAGCATCGCTTGATCTTTTCAACAAAAGTTAATGTAATGGATTTTCTGGTAAGGTTATATTGATTTGTTGTTAGATAGATATATATATATATATATGCATGCTGAATGGCTCTAAATCCGCTTGGTTCTTTCTTGCCTCTACGTTAGTGTTAATTAATTAGGTTTCAAAATATTAATCTCGGTAGAAATAGAATTCAATGTTTTGGTTGCTTTTATTTCAATTAAAATCTCTCTCTCTATATACAACCGGAGCAAGGAGATGAAACTATGTATTTATTAGTTAATTTAGAAAATTGATCTATAGATTAATATACTTTTGAGAGATTTAGTACTGTAAGTTCAGCCAACCAGGTAGCTAGAAAGGGTTATATTAACAATAAACAAGAGCTTCATATCCATAATTCTCCGTCATCAATCTGGTTCTAATTAAAAGTCATCAGTTTCCTAGCTAGCTATCATCGCCTTATAAAAGTGGAGAAGCTCAATTAGGTCTCAGACAAGTGTTGTTGTGTTTTTGGATTTGATGAACACAAAGTTTACCATTTCTGTATATTCATATGCATGTATTGTTGGATGTGGGATGTGGGATGAGGGATTTGTGAGATGCAGAATGAGGAAGTGCTAGTAATATAGAGTAGTGCATGCATACATGATCATGCATGAGTTGACAATTAAGAAGGTGATTTCCATAATAGGTTTTGCATTAATTTGGGCAGCCTAATCATTCAGCGATATCTATTTGCATGATAACTAAACTTTACCAAAACTTAAAGCCATGGACTCTACCTCTTGCTTCTGAATCAAGTATATAGATGAATTAGATATACTCTGGTCTGGCCGGCCTTCACAATTAACATAAACACTAGTATATTTATTATGACACGTAATTTTCCATTTGTAACTATAAATTAATTCAAGAGCCGACTTCCTAATCATATTTAGTTGCACTAGTAATTCAAGGGGCAGAATTCATTCATCAACAATTTTGTTACATATACTGCATGTTGAAGTATTTTGTAGAATTAAAATAAATAAATAAAATACTTGTTTATCAAACATCTCTCCTGAAAAAATATTAAATAATTGTTGAAAGAAGGTTATAGGTGGGTAGGTAGCCAAGAATCATACATAAAAGAGAAATTTCTGGGAAGGTGTCACGGGTACAGGAAGAGATCCTTTAATTTCACGAATATATTGTTGTCGACGTCGTGATGGGAAATGGATGGATGTCTGATGTCTCCAAGGAGAGAATGCCAAACTTTATACATAGAGTCTATCGACTACACAGTCGAACACAATTGTGCTACTTTAATAAAATTTCATCGATTTCCATGTTAATCATAATTCTTTGAATTTTGACAACCTTATCCAATATATAGTTCTTTAGACAGTGAAATAGGAAACATATCTACAATTTTTTTAAAGTATTATATGCCTCTAATAAGGAGGTAAATGATAATATAAGAGATCTACAATATTTTTCAAAATTCATGTGTGTAATATTTTACATTTCACTTATCTCTCAAGGGTAAGAAAATAAGAGTAAACAACTTTTCTCCACCCAAATAATGGTTTAATGACACTTTCTAATCTATGGACTTTTAAAATACTATTTTACTATCCAAAACACAATTCTATTAGTAAATTTCATTGTAAATATGGGCAGAATGATCAAAAGTCCGTTATAGAAAAGGGTAGAATGGTTAAGTGCTGATTTCCTGTGACACACACCCACCACGCGGCCATCATTTTCAGGCCATTGTCAGCCTGAATCCTGCCCTGTGGAGCCCTCCCTCCACCACCACAACATTCTCCACCACCCCCAACAACAAAACCCCACCCTTTTTCCCCTGCCAGCAGTCGTCATTCGCCAACCACAACATCCACGTCGCATGACTGTCCTTCGTTGGATTCTGGCAAAATGCAATGGTGATAATCCCTCCCTCCTCGACCTCTAACTCACCAGCTTCTCCCCTTCAAAAGCCCCACACTCCCCCACCCCAATCGAACTTTGATCACTGCTGCCCCCTCTTTAGAGTTTTTTGCGATTTTCTTCAATTTTGGTTGAAATACTCATCGAAAATCCCTCTTGTCATCACCTATCGCACAACCAATGTCCCCCTTTAAGAAACCCCTATACTCCCGACCCGGTTGCTTGCTGATTGTCATCCACCACACACTTGCAATCAATCAATAATTAATGATGGAGATATTTTTGTCTTCATAATAAATATAACTGTATTTAATGAAGATTATTAATGAAATATAACATTTGGTTCTATGGGTGGAAAAGTATTATTAGACCATTATTTGGATGAGAAAAAGCCGTTTACTCTATAAAATAATAATATTGTGAATAAGTGTATTAAATATATTGTTAAAAACTGGACTGTCTTTAATGTATTTTATTTTAGAATACGTGTCAAGAATACCAGCGAAACAAAACTTAGATGATATCAATGCATCCAAAAATGATTTTTTTCCAATAAATAAATTAAAATATCTATTATTTTTTTAATGGTCTTAAAATGTGCTTTAAGGCGTATGTTAAATTTGCATTTTGCAAGGATTAGTTTATTGTAACAAAATTATTATTTATTAATACAAAAAAATCTAATAATTTGTGAATAGAAGTTAGATCTATTCATTAATTCTTTTTAATATTGAGAAATTTTAAAGTTAGACTTAAAAGTTAAAATAATGGAAGTTGAAACAAAACGAAAAGCACCAGTGGTCTAGTGGTAGAATAGTACCCTGCCACGGTACAGACCCGGGTTCGATTCCCGGCTGGTGCATTTGTTTTTTTTTTTTTCCTAAATTTCATTTTATAATTTATTTGTCCATTTTGATACCATTTTATTTATCAAAAGGCAAATGACAATTTTGATTAGGCTAAAGCTATAAACGGAAAACAGATTTTTGAATTTGGGTTTTCCAAGTTTGATTATTTAAACCAATATGCTACTTCAAATATGCTTCATGTTCTTGCGAAGATATGAGAAAATTTATCTCAGGACCAGCAACACCAGCCAGACTATCTATTTCTTATTCTTGACCCCTAACATTATAAGTCCATTCCGGTTTAAATTGCATGCATATCAAATTAATATTTTGACACTTTCTGCTTGAACCAACCGTTGAAAATACGTAAAGGAAGTATACTATCGTTGTGAGTAAACAATGCGGGGTCCTTAAGTTAGTACTGGATTAGTTTAAAGGTTCACTGGACATTCAAAGAGCAGTACTGTTCAGCTACTTCAACAAAAGCTTCCACAGGCTGGGTTAGCCACAGACGAGTAGATAGTACCTCAGGGAACAGAAGGGGTTATTTCACACTTCATAAAGTTGGTATAATGCAGGAGCCCAAAACAACCTCTATCCATTTTAATAACTGTTTTATAGAATAAAATCTCTTTATACAACCACACCATAATTCCTTACATGCAACAGGTACATTGATTACAGTAAAAAGGTCATCCCAGTTCTAACATAAAGCTGCCAGCTGCATCAAATACATCATAAGTTGTTTACCTAGTGAGATAGTATACAATCAGGAAAATGACCAGAAATGATGCAACAAGGGTAAACATTCTCCTGCTTGATTTGGTCTCGAACACCTGTTACAGTAAATCAAGATAATCATAATTATGTAATCGGATGTGATAATAATAAAGGATAACAAAAGCACAGTTTTCATTTGCACAAGAAGGTCACATAGTCTGCATACCATTTTAAACTTATCCATGGTTCCTGACAAGATTCCTCTTGATGAATCCATATCATTGCCCTGAAACCCAATTCACATATGTAAACAAAAATAAATAAATATCAAAGCAACAAAATACAAAAGAGAGATAAACTGCAGTATACATACCATTCGATCCAGCATGCGGTTGTGGGTCTCCACCTCCTCATTTATATCACCCGACAGCTGTTTTGAACAAACATAATCAGGAAACTCTTGGGAAATTTCAAGATTATAAAGCTAGATACTGTACAAAATCTCGTTCATATATACATATAATTTCCTGTTTTTCAGAGATGGGTATCATAATTTCAAATAACAAGCCCTATGCTTAAACTTCTTCTAAAAATGAACTTTTGAGGGAGCTCTGGCTCAAATATTGTAATTCTGACATCATCAAATAAAAGGGTAATGCTTCATATGAAAACTTTAGGAGCATAACAGCTTTCATCTACTGAAAAAGAAGAATTTGAAGAAGCTCCCGTTGCTGGGAAAACAAAGAAAACAACAGGTATTCAGGAAAGATATAAATGTTATTCCAACCAAGATACCTATAAAATTCTAAATACTCATTTAATTCCTCCATTCACCTTCTGTCATTTTCTTTATCCCATCCACCTTCGAAACAGTCAAAAGGAGCATAACTGAATCAAGTGAAAACACCAAGAAGACCTTATAATTTTGTGACTTGATAGAGAGTATGTCTTACAATTGTACCAAAGTTTAGTGGACAAGATATAACTTACTCTCTTCAGAAGAATGACTCTATCTTGCAATCCTTCCATAGCTCTTTCATTATCATGCTCATCAATTTCATGGGAGTAAGAAGAAGAGGCTCTAATGCCACCCTCCTCAATGTCATCAAAAAGTGAAACTTTATTATTACGGTAATCCCTGCAAAAGGAAAAAAAAAATAGATAAATCGAAATAAACCAAAATGGCCAGAAGATATATCACAAACAAAAGGAGTTTCATCAAGATGAGATGTGGTCAGACTAAGCACAAAACAACTTTAACTCGATGAGGATGACAAATGGTTGGTGTGAGAAGCAATTATCGAGATTTGAGGCCACAAGCCAGGAAAAATTGCAACCTAGATCTGAAGACAGACAATGACAAAGTGTCTTATACAGAGAGGGTAATCTTTAACCTTAAAAGTTATATGATATCATAACGTCAATGGGCTACAACTGTATAGGTATACCAAGAGTATAACCTGAACCCACAGAATACATATAATTCATGATCATTTAACAATGGTCCATCAAGAGGAAATAAAGATAGTGATGGCCACATTGTACATTGTAGGGTATATATGTGAATACAATGCCCAAGATAGTAAGTTGATTTCAACTGTTTAAGAAAACAACAAAAATATAATCATATGGTTTTAGGAATCCTATAGTGTGTTTGGACCCTTTTTTACACTATTAAAAGTGCATCACAAATAGTTAAGTGTTTTTGTGCCACTTTATAGTTTTAAGCTTAAGTGCTTTTTGAGATTTTTAAATTTTTTGTAGAAAGCTTGAACCAATTGCATTATTAGAGTCAGTATACAAGTGGTTAAAATTCTGCCTAATTCAGAGTTGCTTGATAGGATTCGAGTGTGTTCATCAAAAACTTGTGAATTTCCCTATCTTCTACTTTCTTCTCATAGATGAGTAAACTTCTTTTGAACTATAATTTCTTCATTTTCCAAATAGCTCAAATCAAGAAACAACCATTCATATTATCATAAGTAACACTGCCAACGAGAATGCAGCAACCAACCTCTACATACTCATTCCAGAGTGAAACAGCATCATAACATAAGAGTAGCAAGAAACTGACCAAATCCGACCAAAAACATAATTAACGATTTAGGTATAAACCTCATAAGAAACAAACAGATCTCGGTAGACGGTAAGTATCAACAAGAAATAAATCCGATACACCAGATATCCATAGAAGAAAGGAAGCAAGTAATAGAACTTTGATTTAACTAACCTTCTGGAATTCATGGCTCAAAGATCAAAGAATCTGCTCACTTCTCTGCCTCTAGATTCCGCTTTTGAATGCTCTAAAGCGTGTTCCTATAAAAAAAATTCAAAAAATTAAACAAAAACAATCGCACGAGTAATCAAATGAAGAGATATTAACGCATGAAGAAATCCAAATAATTCAGAAAAATGTTGAGAAACATTTAAAATTTGGATCTAAATTTATCTCGTAAATAAAATTACAGTAATAGAAACCATATAAGATTTTTAACCAAAAAATCAGATCTGAGAGCGGAGACAATTAAACCTGGAAGAGAGATTGAGAGTGAAGAGGCGTTACCCTTGGAGGGGAGGTGAAATTCCCGTGCGGTAGTAGAGAACCTCAACTGCTCAAGAGAGAAAATGGGTGAGTTTTTTTTTTTTTTTTCTTATATATATATATATATATATATATATAAAGCGAGGCAGAGGTATGAATTGTAATGTAATAGTAATGGAGGTAAAACATGCATTGCAACATCTTAATCTTAACCTCTACCGTGTTTGGGGGTATAGAATGTACTTCACCTTTCGTGGGGTCTACGTATAATGTCATCTTCATCGTCTATTTCTTGATTTTTGAAATTTTGGACTACCGGATAAGAACTGAACCACTTAGCCACGTCAGAATGTTTTTCACTCAATTGAAGCAGCTTGTGTTAGTTAAGAAATAAGCAATGTTACTCAATTCCAATCACTTCTCCAAAATTCACATATAACTCCTATGTTATCTTATTCCTCATTGATGTGTAAATAATAAGTTGTTATCACATTAAATGATATGTAACTTTAAATATGAATTTAAAGCATTGTTTGAAATTTACCGCATTAACTTTAATATAAAGTTTGTAACTCACTTTTAGTCCCAACTAATGTAACATGATTATTCATTATATTATTTTATCATCTATATAAAATTTTACACGAGATATAAATTTAAGGATATATATATTAAATAATATAACTCTAATATTAATGCTAAATCTATAAACTCTTTGCTAGTTATACGTAAAATAGAAATGTTAGTATGCTTTTCTAATTGTAATTGATTCGCTAATAGTCTTATTTTAGCTCATTCATATAAAATTAGATTGATTATTGATGTCATGTTTATATTTTCATTTCAATTTTTTTTTTTTTCATTTCAATTTGTTAATCCATAAAATAATGAGGTCATTTTTGACATTATGTCTAAATAAAGGGGTGCTGGAAACTAACTAGAACATTAGAGTTTAAATTCTGCTCGCGAGAACTACCCTTCAGAAATCGGGAATCCGATTCTGTCGTCAACCCTAAGCTGATAGTGATACGGGTAGTCGGGGTTTATTATTGACCCGTATACTACCATCCTTGCACCGCAAGCTCGTCAATGGGTTCATTGGACAACATGACCAAGCCATTCGAATCCTCACCCGACATGGAGAAGTTCCTTTGCGAACGGTTGCTTGACCCGACGCAACCAATATCGGAGCGGTTCCGAGCACTTTTCTCTCTTCGCAACCTCAAAGGTCCCGGCCCTCGCAATGCCCTTATAAGTGGTTCGTTCACTCTCTTAACTTTTTTTTTTTTTCCTCGGTTGATTTTCGTTCACTCGCTAAGCTGTGTTCTTTTCCGCCGGGTTGCAGCTACAAAGGATTCTTCAAATTTGTTGGCGCATGAGGCTGCATTTGCGCTGGGTCAAATGCAAGATATTGAAGCTATCCCTGCTTTGGAAGCAGTTTTGAATGATTTTTCTTTGCATCCAATCGTTCGTCATGAGGCAAGTTGCTATCTTTCTTTTGAATACTTTGTTTTTTGTTTTTTTTTTTTTTTTGTTACATTAGTTGTTTATATTATTTATATTGTTAATAATAGGCAGCGGAAGCGCTGGGTGCAATTGGTTTAGATGGCAATATTCCTATGTTGAAGAATAGTTTAGTTTTAGATCCAGCTGAGGAGGTTCGAGAGACATGTGAACTGGCACTTAAGCGAATTGAGGAATTAAAGACGTCCGGTGATGACAATGAATCATCTGTGGTAGAAAAATCTCCTTTCATGTCTGTTGACCCGGCTGCACCAACTTCATCATGTTCTTCTGTTGATGAGTTAAGGTCTGTTTTGTCTTAAGAAATTGATAGATTCATTTTGAAAACCTTGTTTAATGGTTAATTTGCTGACTGATGTTATTTGGTGTTAAGAGAAGTTCTTCTGGATGAAGCAAAAGGCATGTATGAACGATATGCAGCACTTTTTGCTCTTCGCAACAATGGTGGAGATGAAGCTGTTTCTGCTATAGTTGATTCTTTGGGCGCCAAAAGTGCCCTGCTGAAGCATGAGGTTTGTCAAGTTTAATCTAATCATTATATGCTACTTTGAGCCAGTGCCAGGGTTCCTGTGGGCGGATGTCAAATTGTAATTATTGATATCTACTCATTCATTGAATGTGGATGAAGATTTATTGGTGTAGCAATCTTTAGGAATTTGGCTGGAATTATTTTATTAACAAAGGACCTTTTGGTGAAGGTTAACTAGAGAGTGTTAATTTGAAACATGCCTTGCTTGATGTGGTTCCTTCCTCTAAATTTTCTGATCTTTAGATGTTCATGTTTGTGGTGACATGCAGGTTGCTTATGTTTTGGGCCAATTGCAAAACAAGGCTGCTTCGGCTGCACTTAGCAATATACTTGGGGATGCAAATGAGCATCCCATGGTCAGACATGAAGCTGCTGAAGCTCTTGGTTCCATTGCAGGTATTATTACTTTGCAATTTTTTTTTTTGGCTGAGTGCCTGATGCCTTCTTAGAACTTGATGATCAGACGAATTGTTGGTTGTGTGGAAGATACAGTTAGTACTAGTGTTCTATTCAGCAAAAGTTCCATGGCCCTTGACATCAAATATTATCAAGGCAAATACTTGATTGTCATTTAGTTTGATGAGATGTCTGGTTACGATGATTGACATCACATGCTTATAACTATTAGACTGAAGTTTGATGTCCAATCGAGCAGGATACTCAGTGGTACTCTGTTCTAGGAAAATAACATATTGATATTTGAAGTAAATCAGAGGTCATTATTGAGATTATATAACCCAACTGTGACAACTTATATTAATAACTATCTTACTGCATGCGTAATATGAATTACAGTTTTCTTACATTATTTTCACGACACTTTTTATGTTGAATGAAACTTGTAGTAGCAGATGTAAAATTTTTGTGTCTTTAATAAATTGTCCTTCCTAGTAATATTACATTCTCCTTCACTGAACCTTTCTCTTTTCTTGGGGTCAGTTTTTTATGCGCACATGCTTTAAAAACTTGTGCTTCTTATTGAACATTAGCTGTTTCCTTGTTTCGTTATCTAATTAAATTTTCATATGGGGCACTCTTATAGATGACCACAGTGTAGCACTTCTGGAGGAGTTTGCCAGGGATCCTGAACCTATTGTTTCACAGAGCTGTGAAGTTGCTCTGAGCATGTTGGAATATGAACGATTGGGAAAGTCATTCGAGGTATGGTCTTGAGATCCAAATTTAAAATTCACATTCATTGAATAAAAAACATATCTTCAGATTAATGACTTATTATTATATTTTTCTGCAGTACCTCTTCATGCAGGCTCCTGTAATGCAAGTGTGATCTATGTGGCATTTATTGAATATAGAAATTAAATGAAAGAAAAATATATTTGATAATGTATAATCATGAAATTGCGAGAGATGGATTGTAGAAGTATACTTGAACACTTGGTTTCTTACAATTTTGTTCCAGTAATTTATGCCTCAAACGGATAAGTTTACTGGAGGCAAAAGAGGATTATGGTGGTCATCTTAAATCGAAAAAAATAATTATCTTCTTCAGGTTTATGTATTACTCCTTGACTTTTTGTATGCAATTATAATTTTGGAAGATACTGATATTTTTCTTTTATCCTGATTATTGCCTGTTTATACCTTCTGTTTTTCGTTATTTTATAAATATTTTTCCAGCTCATGTTTGACCATATTATTATCATTTCCTATTTCTAAACTCAGACCTGCAAAGGAAGATGAATGTCTAAATTTGCTTCAGTTATCCTGTTCAAGAACCAACAAGAAGTTTGAAGAGATGAATTCGATATGAATTTCCAGTGTGTTAACATCTCTCTCCCAAACCTTTTCACTAGACCAGTTGACGAAGGAGCGTATATTAAGTTTTTCGCTGTAAATAAATCCTGACGAGTAAAATACTCACCAGCATATTGATCAGCCTCTTTGTAGCATTTACCTTGCCTATCTTGTCAGAATTGATGTTGTAGAATATTAATGCTCCCTAGAGTTGGAGAGTTTGCAGACCTAATATTATAGTAGAATGAAGACTTTTGTTGAGTAGATAAAACCCGCCCTCCCTTGATTTGGACATTTCTTGAGCACGAGAATTGTTAAATATGTTGTTGTGCTTTGGACAACTTGAAGAATTGAAGTTTCGGCTGCTCAACTTGATTTTTTTTTTTTTTTTTTTTTTTTTTTAAGCATCTTTCAGCTGTTTCATTCACCTAACTAAATTGCTTAACAAGCTCAGCTCAGGCGGGCAAGATTCAAGATTTCATATAGCACGATTGTACCTTCATTACCACGAGTTAGGCCTGCAATCGAATTGAACATGAACGAACATGTCCGTTCGAAAATCGTTTGATAAATATGTTCGATTGTTCGTGTTTGAACTCGAACGAATACAGGATGTGTGTTCATGTTTGTTAGATTAACAAAAAGCTCATTCATGTTCGTTTGACTAACTTGTAAATATCTGTTCGAATAACTCGTTCGATAATTTGTAAATACCTGTTCGAATAAAAAATATACACCAACTTTCCAATTCATGCTATAAAAAACAACTATACAATAATTTATAATTCATACCCATTTAATTCAATATTTAAAAATAAACCAGCTCTCTATCTATATTTATATTTTAAATAAATCAATAAAAACTCAGGAAATTAAAATAACTAACCATTATAAATAATAAAACTTCAAAATAAATTCAATAAAGCAATAAATTGTTCAAAACAAATTATGGGTTTGGACTTTGGATTTTTAAAATTTGGGCCGAGAAAATGTGGTGAACTTTGGATTTTCAAAACATATATATATATAATTTTGTGTATGTACAAAATTATTATTATACATATATTAATTATAAATTAAATATGTTTAATATGTTATGAAATTACCAAAATTATAGGTTATCATATATTTATTATCATTACATAAATTATCATAAATATTTTAAATGTTTACATATATATTTTGTATCAACACCCATAAATTCATAGTGAAATGATGGTTTATTATAATAAATTATCAATATATATGTGTGATTAATTTGTTATATATAATATGTAATTGTGTATATACAAAATTATTATCATACATATATTAATCATAGGTTACATATGTTATAAAATTATCAAAATTATAAGTTATCATATATTTATTATCTTTACATAAATTATCATAAATATTTTAAATGTTTATATATATATTTTGTATCAACACCCATAAATTTATAGTGGAATGAAAGTCTATTGTAATATATGATCAATATATATATATATATATATAATATTATTATTATTATCTACATATATATTTTGTATCAATACCTATAAATTCATAGAGATATGAAGGTTTATTGTAATATATGATCAATACAAATGTGTGATTAATTTAGGTTTAATTAAACTATTATATTATTAAATTTGTTATACTATACATCATTTGATTAATAATATGTTATAGTTATCATTTTACCATGTTATATTTATTATTTTATAATTGAAATGCTATCTTATAATATTTAATTATTGATTATTTGGAAAAAACGAAGTTATTATGTTATTGGATTTACTATATTATATATCACTTGATTATACAATCTATTATATTATTAAATTGTGATGCTATGTACATAATAATTTATTACTTTTTAATTAAAATGATATATACTTATATATTTAATTATTGATGACATTTAGAAAAAAAAAATCTAAACATATTATATATATAAGAAAACAAAAGTATCATAATATTTTATTATTGATTACCATTAAATTTTTTTTTTATCCACCTAAATTAAACATAATATAAAATGAAATAAAAAATTAAATATAATAATGCATAACATGTTTTTCGACCATAATCGAAGGATTGTTCACGAACGGATGGATCAGTCGAACGTATAATGTTCGCGAACATTATCGAACGAATAACCCCTTTCGAACTCGATCGAATGAATATCAAACTTTTCGTGAACATTATCGAACAGTAATTGAACAAACAACGAGTTTTCGTGAACTTTTCGGTTTGTTTTTAGCTCTACCACGATTGCCGATGGCATTGGTGTGAGAGAGTAAACTGAAAAATATAAAATTAAGACTTCTTAATAACTGTCTAAGAGTCATTGAAAAACAGGCAGGGGAATTAAACTTGACCGACATTGAATAATCAATAATTAAATAGTAAATTCATATAATTTTATAATCTATACATTTAAAGATTCTATACTAAAAATCAAATTAATAAATGTCCATTAAATGATATGACAATTCACAAATGCTAGTTTGCTACTCATTAGTATTTTATATGAATGAATTTATATAGTCTTTGTAAAAATCAATATTACTCTCCCAATTTTATCCTATATTTTCATCTCAAAAACGTGTTACTTGATAGACATTGTTTGTATCATTCAATTCAATTCATTACCGTTTTATCTATAATTCAATGACTATGTAATAACATATCACTTGATATATAAAAATATATGATAAATTTGAGAAAAAGTAATATTATTGCCTTGTAAATGTAATATTAGTATTGATATTTATGCATAAGGCACACACGTTCTTGCAGCAATTTCTTATTTTTTTTTTTTTTTGCACGTATATTTGTTTCAAAACCTGTTTCAATGAGCTCAAATTGTTTCATTGTCAATCAATTAACAATTGATATCTATTTTTTCAACACTTAAATTGACTTAAAAAAATGTGACTACGATAATAAAGACTTGAAATTTATATTTATAAAAAAAAAGACTTTTAAAATAAATAATTTTATGAATTACATATAATAATCCAAGAGGTGGATGTGAAAACCTAAACCAGTGAAGTAAAATAAGACAGTAAATATCGAATCAAGGGAAGGGGCGAGGCAAAGCGTATAAGAGAAGCCATTATAATCAAGATTCAAATAGGGGATCCCTTAACCCACACCTATATATGTACTAACGCGCGAGCCACCAGCCAATAAACGCAGAGTTTTAGTGAGAAGACTCATAATGGCGAACCCGCCAAAGCCCTGGAAGGTGGAGTATGCAAAATCAGCGCGGTCCTCTTGCAGAACTTGCAAGAGCAACATTGAGAAGGAGGCTTTTAGGCTTGGCAAAATGGTCCAGTCCTCCCATTTCGACGGCTTCATGCCTGTATATTCTTCTTTTCCCTATTTTGCCCTTCTTTTCACATTTCCCTCTTCTTCCATGCATTTTGTGTTTCTTTGCTTTCACTGCTTATTATATTCGTGTTCACTAGTTTTACATTATTGCAATGTTCGGTTTTAGGTATTTTGTTTTGTTTATTAATTCATAGTAACCAGTAAGTTTTTGTTGGTCGTTGAATGAAGAATTTTTGTATATTTCTCTGAAGGAAGTTGGCCCTAATATGAAGTAAAAATCAGTTTTTTTTTTTTTTTATATATATATATATTTTTGGTTTTTATGCCAAAAAAAAAAAAAAAAAAAGTCTGCGTGCTGAGTTATTTATCTAATTTACATTTAGTTAATCTGTGTGAAATGGGATTTTCTGTTGGCATTGTGCAAGAACTTTTTTTTTTCTTTGCTCTTGTATTACTTTATTCTTTTGTTTGTGGAGTATGATGAATGTTTTGATCTTCCTCACTCGCAGATGTGGAACCATGCCAATTGTGTATTGAAGAAAGCAAATCAGATAAAATCGTAAGTATCCCTTACTACTATAATTTTCCAATATATAATCCCAAGAGATGCCTCGAATAACTTTTGTTTCTTATTTGTGCTTTTAGCCTAGACGATGTTGAAGGGTTAGAATCACTTCGATGGGAAGACCAGCAAAAAATTAGAAAATATGTGGAGGGTGGTGGACCTTCAAATAAGACTGCTGTCACTACTATCGAATATGGTATTGAAGTTTCACAAACCTCTCGTGCTACTTGCAAGGACTGCAACCAAAAAATTATGAAAGGAGAGGTGGGTTTTATTTTTTCTTTTTTATTAAATGATAATTCATCTATCCCATTTTAAGGAAATTATTATTCTGTAGATGGATTGATGTCCATATCTTGGATTTTGCAATTTGATAACAATTCTATAAACTTAGCTATATCTTGCAGAAGTTGATTGTGGAATCAAAATGTTTTCTAGTTTCTGTACTTGCATTAGCACATGGAAATGTATATTATCAAACAATTAGAATGGGTAATTGATATAGTTTGTTTATATCACGTTAATGTTTGAGTAATGCAAAAATTACTTGAAGATTTCTTTTATTGTGTTGTAAGGTTCGTGTATCTTCCAAGCCCAATGGTCAAGGGGCTAGAGGTCTAGCATGGCATCATGCCAATTGTTTATTGAAAGTGTCTCCATCTGTCCAATTGGAAAAACTGTCTGGATGGGAAAGCCTATCAGTTTCTGATCAGGCAGCTGTTTGTGCCCTGGTTAAGAAGGTTCCATCTACTGCTAAGAGTGGTATGAAGTTCATGTGTTATATTTTTTGATGATGTTGTAGTGCCGCCTGATATATAGTTTTACTGGTTTTTGTCCCTTTATCTTTGTACTTGTTTGTTTAGGCACAAAAGCTGAGGAACAACAGGATAAAGATATGCCCCAACAATCAACATCAAAAGCTGGTACAAAACGTAAAAATATTGGTATTGATCAGAGGTCAAAGGTTGCTAAGGCTGAAGGAGATGTGTCAACAGGCAAGGCTGCATCCATGAAGAATTCTAACAACAGGCTGGATGAACACACGTCTGATTTGACAAGTAAGCTGGAAGTCCAGAGTAAAGAACTGTGGGCTCTAAAAGATGATCTTAAGAAACATGTGACTACAAAGGAGCTAAAGGACATGCTTGACATCAATGATCAAGAATCCACAGGATCTGAACTTGATTTGCGTGACCGTTGGTAATTTCTTGGTGCTGCATTTTATTGGCATGTACTTTCAGAAGTCCTTTTGTTGAATTCCCATTTTAATCTATCATCTGGTATGAGCTTTCTTGTCAATGTTTCTTTAATTTTTATGATCAAGTGGATTTTTCTATGGTTGCTATAACTGTAGTGAGTTAGGCACTGTTACATACACACATACGCCTCTTGATTTTACACAAATTATGACACGAGCAGCTCCGTTTGATTTTAGCCCTATATGTATTATCTAAGAGTGGAAAATTGATTGGCTAACCAGTCATTAGTTGTTATACAGCACTACAACGCCAGCATTGATATCTAAAACTTAAAATTTGAAAGTTGACAAAGTTTGTATTATTATGATTCTTGTTTAGTGCTGATGGGATGATGTTTGGAGCACTTGGTCACTGCCCACTTTGTTCAAGTTCTCTTCGTTATTCTGGAGGCATGTATCGGTGCAATGGCTACCAGTCTGCATGGAGCAAGTGTTCTTACTCTACTTGTGAACCAGAACGTTTTAAAGGGAAGTGGAAAGTACCAGAAGGGACAGATAATGAATATCTTAGCAAGGTATTCAACTTAGATTTACGTGAGATTTTAATCTAAGCAAACTTTGACTTCAGTTTACCATGTTGGTTGCAGTGGTTTAAAACACAAAAGAGTAAAAAACCTGTCCGAGTCCTGCCTCCTCCGACATCAAACAATCCTTCTGCAAGCCAAGCTACTAATGCCACATCTCAGCCTTTTAAGGGTGAAACTTTGGGGGATCTTAAAGTTTCTATTTCTAGATTACCTAAGGAATCCACGGTCTGGTCTTTTTATCCTTTTTTATATGTCAATGATTAAATTTTAGTTGAAAGTATCTGATTACTATGGTTTCAGAATATCACATGATAAAATTTATGGTTTGAGTTCAATTCATGGAGGGGTTTCTCTGCAGGAAGAATGGAAGAGAAAAATTGAGGAAGCTGGTGGACAGGTTCATGCAAAGATTAAGAAAGGTTTGTTCCTGTTACCTTGGATTTTGAATCAAACTTGTCCCTCTTCATATATAGTTTGTTGCTGTAGATATAGACATGTTGTTAGTTGTTACTTAAAAAGGCATATTGCAGATACTAATTGCTTAATTGTGGGTGGAGAGCTGGAGGATCAAGATGCTGAGATGAGGAAGGCAAGGTAAAACTTCTTTTTGTAGTTCTTGCTTTAGTATATTTTTTCTTTAGTTTATTTAAGTCTGACTGGGAATGATTTCGCTGGCAGGAGGATGAAAATACCAATTGTTAGGGAGGATTACTTGGTTGAATGTTTTAAAAAACAAAAGAAGCTTTCGTTTGATCTTTACAAAGTTGAAGCCATTGGCGAGAGTTCTAGTATGGTCACAATCAAAGTAAAAGGTCGAAGTGCTGTGCATGAAGCTTCAGGTCTGCAGGATACGGGTCACATTCTTGAGGATGGGAAAAGTGTCTATAACACAACTTTGAACATGTCTGATTTATCTACTGGTGTTAACAGGTGGGCCAATTTTATCCCATCTATCTTCTTGGTTTTATAGTATTTTTGTTCTTTTACTTGAAATTATGTCACATAAAAATTTCAGTTATGAACTGCAACAACTTCTACTTTTCAGAACTAAGCTCTAGATCTGAACAATGCTTTCCCCTATATATCTTTATCTTGTCTTTGGCTTAAGGCATATATTTAATGCCAGAGTGCACTGGATTTGTGCTGCTTTGCCTTTTTAAATTCCTATATTGCTGTCTTTTTCCTCTTAAGTTTCCTTTTGAATGAATGCTGACTTGTATCTGATTGATATGTCAAGTTACTATATCCTGCAAATTATCCAAGATGATAGAGGGTCGGACTGTTATGTGTTTCGTAAATGGGGCCGAGTGGGAAATGAGAAGATTGGTGGGAGCAAACTGGAAGAGTTTTCAAAATCAGATGCAATCTGTGATTTCAAACGTTTGTTTCTTGAGAAGACTGGGAATCCATGGGAAGCGTGGGAACAAAAACAAAACTTCGAGAAGAAACCTGGCAGATTCTTCCCATTGGATATTGTATTGCATAACTCTCTCTCTCTCTCTCCCTAACCACCCCCCCTTCTCCTCTTCACACACACAAAAGAAAAAGCACATCCCCAGATGCGACTGCTCCTGGTTTAGGTGCTTGTTGCTAGTTTCTTATTTTCATTATGAATTTCTTATATTTGCAGGATTATGGAGTTAACAAACAGGTGTCAAAGAGGAAACAGACTGATGCTGACAGCAAACTTGCACCTCCTTTAGTAGAGTTAATGAAGATGCTCTTTAATGTCGAAACATATAGGTCAAAAAAATTTTTTTGACGTCTGGTTTCTTATTTTGTATTCTTTTATATAATTTATATTTCTCAAAGAGCAAATTTTAAGTTTTGCAGAGCTGCTATGTTGGAGTTTGAGATTAACATGTCAGAAATGCCACTGGGGAAACTGAGCAAAAATAATATCCAAAAGGGTATTTACCTGTAAAAATTACATTTATTTGAGTTTTTAAAATTAATTTATTGCATTAACTAAATAGAATTTGGTGGCCTGTTTACTGATGCCTTGTATGTTTTCTCTTTTTCCAGGTTTTGAGGCATTAACGGAGATTCAAAATTTACTAAATAACAATGCATTTGATCCTTCTGTCAAAGAAAGCCTGATAGTTGATGCCAGCAATAGATTCTTTACTGTGATCCCTTCTATTCATCCACATGTTATACGGCATGAAGATGATTTTAAGTCAAAGGTACTGATTTGCTACTCTTGGATACTTTTTTGATATATTTGCAATGAGGTGATAGCAGTTGCATTAAGGAGGCTCATAAGAGAAAATTGGGTTGTAAGCCAATTAGAACTGATTGAATTAGATATTGCCTAAATCACTTCGCTGGCAGTCCTTTAAATTACTGTTTTACAAAGAAATTTCTTTAGGATCTGAAAATTTATCAATTTCTTCATCTGTCATAAACAATTTCTGCACGGGGCGCATTCTAGAAAGTTGGGTTGTAAGCTTGTCTAAACCTCTTTTCTCTGGAAGTTCTATAAATGACTTTTGCAAAAAAATTTCTTTAGAATCTGAAAATTTATCAATCTCTTTATCTTTCATAAGCATTTCCTGCTAAGGGGATTGATACTGATTTCTTTCTGACTGATATGAAAATTACTGAAGTTGAATTGTTTTTGGCTGCTTTCCAAGGATGCCTTTGGGAACTTGACGTCATATTATCCAAGTTGTATGGTTTTTGTTTTGGTTTCCAGTTTTTACGACTTTGCTAGTCAATAGAACTTCTGTTAACTGGCTGCTGCATCCGTTTGTCATGTGATTGTAGCATTAATATTCTAAAGATTGACAACTCAACTATATGTGCTTGTGATTTTTGAACTCCCAAATTAAGCATTGTATTGGACAAGCTCAAGAGTTGCTTGTTTTAAACAATAAAGGAAAGGTTCATTAAGTCATATTCTAGAAACAATAAAAGGTTTGTGCACAAAGTGAGATGTCTATATTGCCCAAGAATATACTTGAGAGCACAAAATAAAGTCTGAAAGTAATAGCCATGCCTTCTGGTTCTTATGTCAAACTTTGTAGCCACAAATGGGAACTTGTTAGAGATTAATTTTGCTGTTCTATGACACTGTGTACAGAGGTCAGGATTTTGGATTATATATACTTGGATACTTTTTCTGTCATACTATGGGATTTATATTAGGCCGTAACTGAACTATGCAGATCTCTACTTCTTCTGCCTCATGCAGTTTTTTCTTTGACCAACAATATTTTGTTTGTGCTTCTATGGTAGGTGAAAATGCTGGAAGCTCTCCAGGACATTGAAATAGCTTCAAGATTAGTAGGTTTTGATGTTGATAGTGATGACTCCCTTGATGAGAAATATCAGAAGCTTTGTTGTGATATTGCTCCTCTTCCTCATGATGGTGAAGATTATCAGTTGATTGAGAAGTATCTTCTTACAACTCATGCTCCTACACATACGGTGGGTTTAGTCTTAGATTATCTTGAACCCTGAGAACTTACTTTGCTGGTGATGACTTTTTGTTGGTTGGTTTACATATATGACATTCTGGACTTTTATGATATCCTCAGGATTGGTCTCTTGAACTTGAAGACGTTTTTTCACTTGAAAGGGAAGGAGAATTTGATAAGTTTTCTCCTTATCGACAAAAGCTTAACAATAGAATGCTCCTCTGGCATGGTAAGTTGCAATTAATTTACAGAAAATTAAAGAGAAAACACTTCTGCAGTTAAGTGTGATGTGTTATATTCTACTTTGTCTGCTGTAAAATTTTCCCACTCTGCAGGTTCTCGGTTGACTAATTTTGTGGGAATACTTAGCCAAGGACTGAGAATAGCGCCTCCTGAAGCACCAGCAACTGGCTATATGGTTTTCTCACTCTCCCACTGTTTGTGTGTGTGTGTGTGTGTGTGTGTTCATGTGCACGTGTTTGTGTGTGTGTTTTTGTGTTCAGGTGTATCTGCACATCTGAATCTGGTTTATCTACCGACCATACTGCAAGACTAACTTTTGAATAATCTTTCAAAATAGTTTGGCAAGGGGATATACTTTGCTGACCTGGTCAGTAAAAGTGCTCAGTATTGCTACACTGATAAGAAAAATCCTGTGGGCCTAATGCTTCTAGTGAAGTAGCTTTGGGAGAGGTCCACACACTCAAGAAGGCAGAAGTGAGTTATCCTAATTCTTAATGTTTCCCTGCATTGTTATGTGGAGTCTATTGGGTGGTTGTGTGTGTGTTTTTTTTTTTTTTTTTTAAATTTTTTTATTGTGTCACATTTGTCTATTGAGATATTTACTTTCAATTAGGAGTTTTAGTGCTCACAGTCTTACCGGTTTCATGTTATATCCACATGGGTATTTCCAAATGGTCTGTTAATTTAGCTTGTGCTTGATAACATTGTTTGTGCACTCATTTATTGTGTTCCTATAACAATTATAACTTATGTATGCAACTATATCATTTTGTGTGTTATTCTGTATTATAATGAACACATTTTATTTAATCAGAAGTTTGGCCCAGTATGATGTGTAGCGTGTGAGAGAAATAATTTCGCAATGCTTATGTTTCCATACCAGCTCTTCTTCATAGTAATTTCTTTCTGCTCTGTGATTCAGTATATGGATAAACCTCCTGAAGGAAAGCACTGTACCAAAGGACTAGGGAAGAAAGTACCGCAGGAATCGGAATATGTGAAGTGGAGAGATGATGTAACTGTTCCTTGTGGCAAACCAGTTCCATCCAGAATCAAGGCCTCTGAGCTTATGTACAATGAGTATATTGTTTATAATACAGCTCAAGTAAGTTCAAGTTTCAATTTTTCTTCTCATTTTATTTCTTATAACTTTAGTATGGTAAAATTTTGCTATTTAGTCTTTTGATTTGTCTATTATTAAATATAATTAAATAGTCATGTATAAGTAGTACTAACAGTAAAATATGGAAGGATATTTTTTTCTGCTGCAGTGGGCATTAGCAGATATTCTTACCGTGCATCGTCCAAGTTATTTTTGGGTTGTTACCCGGTCACATAATCAATTTTCAAAAGTGATCAACCGTTTATTTATTTTTTGTTTATGTATTTGACAGGTTAAGATGCAGTTCTTATTGAAGGTGAGGTTCCATCACAAGAGATGAGAACAGTAAATGATGTTTAACTACATTATGGGAAAGGGTTATGACTTATGACAGTAAGTTTTCGAGGATTTAATGTGTATTGATGCAGTATGTGTTGATAAGATCTCAGTTTTGGGGTTGGCTTAGGATATTTCCAACCTCTAGTTTTGAATATTATGTAAATAGTGCTGCAATGGAGTAAATGTTCTTTTTTGGGTTTGAACTTTGAAGAGAGTGCCCTCTTGTTTAATCAGTTGGCTTACTTCTGCTCCTCTAATATGAAGGTCCTTAACCTTGTTAATACAGTTCTACTTTTACACACTCATACTCTGTTAGAACTTATTTCCGTCTTACAGCTACAGCTGCCCATACTGATCATGTAATCAGTTGGCTAAGCTTTTATAGGGTTTTCAAATTAATTACAGTTTTATACTAATTTTAATCTTTAGTGTTAAGTCGAATTGAACCAAGTTTGCTATTGCTCCAACAGTGTGGGTGAGGGATTTACCTTTATTTGTTTGAACTTGGTAATGATAAGAAGAAATAGTAATGTGTGGAAGTTAGGGGCATTACCACGAAGGATATTTTTTCTAGAATTTAGACCACCGTAGTTGAGTTGAAGAGAGAATGACTTGTGCAATCAATGAGAAAACGTGTAATGATACATTGGAATAGATATAAGCACAATTGAATACATAATAGTCCATACATTGAAGAAAAAAAATGCAAANTCATCCAAGTTATTTTTGGGTTGTTACCCGGTCACATAATCAATTTTCAAAAGTGATCAACCGTTTATTTATTCTTTGTTTATGTATTTGACAGGTTAAGATGCAGTTCTTATTGAAGGTGAGGTTCCATCACAAGAGATGAGAACAGTAAATGATGTTTAACTACATTATGGGAAAGGGTTATGACAGTAAGTTTTTGAGGATTTAATGTGTATTGATGCAGTATGTGTTGATAAGATCTCAGTTTTGGGGTTGGCTTAGGATATTTCCAACCTCTAGTTTTGAATATTATGTAAATAGTGTTGCAATGGAGTAAATGTTCTTTTTTGTGTTTGAACTTTGAAGAGAGTGCCCTCTTGTTTAATCAGTTGGCTTACTTCTGCTCCTCTAATATGAAGGTCCTTAACCTTGTTAATACAGTTCTACTTTTACACACTCATACTCTGTTAGAACTTATTTCCGTCTTACAGCTACAGCTGCCCATACTGATCATGTAATCAGTTGGCTAAGCTTTTATAGGGTTTTCAAATTAATTACAGTTTTATACTAATTTTAATCTTTAGTGTTAAGTCGAATTGAACCAAGTTTGCTATTGCTCCAACAGTGTGGGTGAGGGATTTACCTTTATTTGTTTGAACTTTGTAATGATAAGAAGAAATAGTAATGTGTGGAAGTTTGGGGCATTACCACGAAGGATATTTTTTCTAGAATGTAGACCACCGTAGTTGAGTTGAAGAGAGAATGACTTGTGCAATCAATGAGAAAACGTGTAATGATACATTGGAATAGATATAAGCACAATTGAATACATAATAGTCCATACAGTGAAGAAAAAAATGCAAAATAAAACAAATGAGAGAAAAAATAACAATATGTAAACTAACATATTAGGATAAGTTGGTAGCATATTCAATTTAGGGCAATGATCAAATGTACTCCATGATAGGAATAAGCTTGCTTTTACAATTAAATCAACATAACATACGATACGATTGGAGGGCTGGTGTGTTATTATCAACCTAGTAGTACTTGCAGATTTGAATACATGTGTATGTGGTAACTAGTGCATTTAAATATCTGACTACCAATGAGACATGTTTTATTCAAACTTCAACTGTGGAGACATAATTTACCTTTATAAAATTAATGCACCCCAAAAGTTATGCCAGTGAGATAATGATGCCGGCGTGGTGGGTAAAAACTTTAATTCTGATGTAGAAAAATGAAAAATCTTGTGGGCAGGCTGCATGTGTGCCATGTGCATGGATGATGGTGTATATTGACTTGAAAATAAATGGAGGTTATGTCATGGAAACTTGGAGTTTTTGGCAGAGAATTGGAGTTATATGATGAAGAAGTAGAGCATATGAGTATGACATGGGAACGTGCTTTTTGGTGCAAAAACAGCCATTTTCCTTTGTTAAAGATGACGATCCCCACTCATGCTGTTTACCCTACCCTTTCGCCTTTTTAACATGATGAAATCAGATGCATTACACTTGAAGCTTCTTTTTTGAAGATACGTGGCTTCTCTGTTTCTTCTTAGCTTCAACATCTTTCACGTGTGCTGATGCAAACATCATAATTAATACTTCTAATTCTCTTCTTTGAGTTGCATTTTCTCTGTTATCAATCATTCTTCTATTCAAGACTGAGTTTAGTATAGGCTAAGTTCAAGGTTCTAAAGATAATTGAATTTGAATGGTTTCCAAATAAACTTCCCCACCACATACATAATTATAATAAGTGACAAAAGAGGTTTTAAGGGTCGGCATTAGGCATCCCAACACAAAAATCGCGAGAGAAGACTTTTATAGCTAATCCCTGAAAAGCTTTCATGTGTAATCTATCCCTAAACCCCCAACAGCAGAAGTCTGTGTTTTGATTGTAGTAGGTAGGCGGGGGGGTGGAGTGGGCAACGAGGGCCTCACTTCATAATAGCCTTTTGCCATTGCTACACTTGAGTTGGCTTTTGTCTCATCTGAAAAATTGACGCAATCCACACGAGGGCAACACAAATCAATGCACCAACATTACTGGTATTCAAGAAAAGACCCGGCACAGTTAGAATTAAGACTTAGAACCACAACCACTGTTTATTTGTCTATTTCAATGTCACCATCATCATCGAGTGGCCCAGATCCCAAGCTCAATATAAGACACAAAACCCAAAATTAGCTAAGTTGAGTATCTCCTTTGCTTCATCAGGCTTCTAACCTCTAAAGTAACGGACATGGTGTCAGTGTCATGGCAGATAAATTAATATAATTATTCCCCTGATGAAAATTAGTTATTTCACTTGTCACTGGATCGTGATAAATCAATCGTTGAAAAACAAACACGCTTCTTGAATCTTTAAATTTGTTCAAAGATGTAGCTGGTTACCATTATTCTTTTTATTAATAAAATAATTTAAACGTGTTTCTTCTTCAATAAATTAATAAAATGCCGCTGATGTATAATTATACTTAAAATAAGTAGAGTGGTTGTCGGTAGGCCTTCACCGGCAGGTGGCAGTGAAGAAGAAGAAGAAGAAGAAGAAACTAATACAATAGCATCCATAAAGCGACAAACAGCAGCAGTTCCCAGGTGCGGCGTTCGGCGGAAAAAGATTAACATATCAAAACCCCAAAATCAAACTTGGACTATAAAAAATTAAAATGAAACAAAGTTAGAAATAATAAAACCATATGATAAACCATAAAAAATGGTCTAACACATTTAAATAAACAACCCATATTGCATAAACCATCAATACATGCTTCCCTAAAAGCCTACAAATAGGCCCTCAATGTCCCCCATTCACACTCCTTATAAGAAGAACCCAACTCTCAAAAGCCCCACTCTCCCCTACCACCCTTACCTTAAAGTCTTTCATTTATTTGCACCATTTCCTAGTGTGCTCGTGTGCCCTTAAATTATTTTCCATTTTTAAGATTCTCTTCTTCTAGTTCTGTCTTAATTACCATGGCATCATCTGGGAATGGCAGTGGCTCTCCTTGCGGTGCATGCAAGTTTCTCAGGCGAAAATGTGCATCAGATTGTATTTTTGCGCCTTATTTTTGCTCAGAACAAGGCCCTGCAAGGTTTGCTGCCATTCATAAAGTTTTTGGTGCCAGTAATGTGTCTAAATTGTTGTTGCATGTTCCTGTTGCTGATCGTTGTGAGGCCGTTGTTACAATTGCCTATGAAGCTCAAGCTCGGATCAGAGATCCTGTTTATGGTTGTGTTGCACACATCTTCGCCTTGCAACAGCAGGTAATTAATCACTAAGATTTTCAACCAAATCTTGTCATATCTCTAAAAGTAGTATGATATGTTACCAGTAATCCTTTTCAGCCGTGAGTTCTTCTGTATATTATTTGTATTGTTTCAAGCAGTCCCCTCTTAAACTTTCTTTTATACATTTTTTTTTTTTTTTGACAAATTATGCTCTCTACTTCTGTTCTTGCCAGTGAACCTAGCTTTAAAATTTCCCAGAAGTTTTCATTTTAGAAAAATTAAGTAAATTATAAATTTTTCATGAACTGTGTTTAATGTTTTTATAGGTGGCAATGTTGCAAGCTCAATTGATGCAAGTGAAGGCTCAACTAGCTCAAAATATAATGGATCCAAGGAATATGGAGAATCAATATTGGCCAGGCAACGCAGGTGGGGCATCATCGTTTCCAACTAATTATCCAACTTACATGAATTCAATATCGCCACAAAGCTCATTCGAATCAGCAGACCATAACAACGATGGGATGAATATGCAAGAAATAGAGAGCTGTAGAGAGGAATTTTCATTTCAAGCTTGTCCAAACAAGAAGAGACCATGTAATACTACTGAGTTGGGTGAGCTTCAAGCACTTGCCCTTAGAATGATGAGAAATTGATTTCAATCATGTTTCTTTATGAAAACAGATCATCATCATCCCTGCTCAAATTCTGTATATACTCAGACTATCCAAAACTTTAGTATAATTTGATAAAGCCTAACAATGGCATTTCCTTTTTTCCAAATTAATTAAACTTGGAAATGAGCTACCTGTCTCTCTCTCTGCGACTTTGAATAAATTACTAGCTAGGGTGGTTAACTTTCTTGAAGTAGATAATTTTGTATATACTGGGTTACAATAATTTACCATGTAAATAATTAATCTGGGTAGGGTTGTTAGCTTACCTTTTGAAGATAAATTCTTATAGAATTTACTGAAGAACAATAATAGAGACACCCCATAAACATTTTAAAATAAAAAGCTATGGAATTTGAATTGTTTTTATATTCTTTATCTGTCAAGTTCAATGATAACTCAAATACATACAAAATTGAACCCTCTTGTGTCTTTTCCTACGTGGGGATAATTAATTAAACATATAAGAGATGATCATATGGGAATCCCCAGGGCAAATTTTCGGTTTAATCAATTAAGAATATATCAGTCCTATAATCTCTTGATTAAAGATGATTTAATTAAGCTTTGGCCCTTAAGTTGCTTCTTAGCTTCCAACAAAGTCTAGATCCAAATGCATGCAAGGGGGCACTTGGGATGAGAGTAAGATTGTGAGATTTGGTAATTAAGCATTAATTTTGATGAGTTCGATGGTGTGCTATCATTGAAATTAAAGGCAAACGCATCGATATATGGTTTGAGGTGAGTATTTTAGCTAGGGTTTATATGTTCTAATAATAAGTAGGTTCACCTAACATCAATAGTCTTGCTAATTTTAATAACAATGCCCCAATAAAATTGTACTCATTTATATAGACAAAGTGTCCCCTTGATTGAATGCAATGGGCTACATCATGAGTTAGTAGCTAGCTTTCGCAACTTTATTAAACAAATTAATTAACCCAAATATAATTTTGTTTGGTTCTCCAAATCCTATAATGAGACGCTTATATATGTTATGAAATTAATATATGTTTCATCTGAATTGGGTATATTTTATTATTTAGAAGCATCTACCAAATAGGATAAACCCTTGTATCCTATATATATATATATGTTTTTGAAAGCCTAGCTAGTATTCATATTTTATAATTCACTAATCCTTGTAGATCACACATATGATTGAGTTGGCATGACTAAAGATTGGATTCAGATTTTAGATGGAGAAAGTTTAGCATACGCAATCTCATCACTAGAGAAATCGATGATAAAAAGAAAAGAAAGAACCAGAATGTGTTTTATATTGTAAGGGTTATAGAAGTGAAGAGGGTGAGCTGAATAGTAGTTGATGACAAATAAATTAATATTTATACAATTTAGTGAATTGAGATTGGATTAATATTGAATAGCAAAGTAAGTTCTTCGAGCCCAAGACTGTTGCATATAAAAGGTAGTCAAGAGACAGTAACCCACTTTCTTATATGCTAAATTATATCTAAAAAGTAATAATAATTATTATTATTATAAATGGGATCCTCCATTAATTGAACTTGGAAAGTAATTATTCCACAGAAACATTAAATAAATATTCATAAAATGGAAAAAGCTGTCAACAAAAGTGAAAAAAAAAAAAAAAAAAAAAAAAGGGGAAGACAAGAAAGAAGTCTACTTTATTTCAAATTATTAAAAATAATTACAAAGAGTTTGTATTCATTCATTCCCATGGCTGTTGAGAGCAGCACCGTATGTTATGTCTCTCTATCTCTATCTCTATCTCTATCTTCTTAATTTCTTCAATAAATTCCATAGCTTTGCAATTGGTGTTTAATTAAAACATAAATTAAAGAAGAAGAAGAAGAAGAAGAAGAAAACAAAAGTGAAAAGAAACGGTTGGACTAAGTTTAGGAAAAGCGTGAAAGGGTTTGAATATTCTAACAAATTAAGTTTGACCATTGACTTTACCTATACATATACGTCTCCATCATAGCCGCTCGATTGTGGGACCATCCATGTATTCGAGACAAGTAACTGTCCTTCTTTAATCTTTTATTAATTACAAGTTTGGTCCGTGCGGCCTTGTTTATTAAACTAAGGTGTGACCATTCAAACTTTTGGCTCACTTTGAAAGCTATAATAAAACCAAACATCCTTCAGCTTTTCCAGTTTCTGCTGGTATGCAAAGTTATGCTTTGTAAATTACCAAGAGTTAATTCAGAATATGTGTGAAAGTTACCTGGTAAATATTACTCTGTCGATCAATTCAATTGGGCCGGAGTGAGTTGGGTTGGGTCTAGTATAGAATAATGGCTACTTTTACCTTGTAAATGTTAATTGAGAACATGACAACCATACAACTCTGTTTTTTCTGGGTACATGTCCTGATAAAGTATTTTGTTTTTATATAATGGAATTAATTAAGTAGCTCTGAACGGAGTAATCTTTACAAAATATATTTGGGAATCCTACAAAGATGGTCCATCCTCAAAAAGCTGTTCATACAGCAAACGATTTGCCTTATTTTTTTTTTCCTTTCAATCCAAAGGGATCATCAATGGTAAAGCTTAAATAAAGTATTGATACATGTAAAGTTTCACTACTAGCAAAAGCAAATAGCTTTTTATAGTAATTAATGAAATACAAGACATGGGACTGCTGGCATTTGAATACAGAGAGCAGAGGGTATGGTCAAATAACAGTCAAATAATCCTTCACTTTGTAATGTATATGTGATAAATAATCAAGAATGCAAGAAATATATAATAGTTTATCTGTGAAGATCCTTAATAGAATAAAGCATATATTAATAAGATAATAAAATGTGGAAGTTTTTAAGCAAGACTGTTCCATTTTGAATGTCGAATTTGAAGCAGTAGTGAGTGGGTCTTAAATGTCATCCAATCACAGAGAATATATATTTGCTCCAATAAATCTTATTAATATTGTTATCTGTCTACATATGGACTGTTCAATGCGAAAGAAATTAAAAGGGTTTCTTCCATATATATTCTTTAATGGAGAATTTTCAATCCAAAAAGCAATTACATGCACCACCAACGCATCATACACATTTATATATGTATGGAATCCTTCCAGATTTTATTTTTCAAACTTGAAAAGATAAATAAGATATTGCAAATTTTGTCCAAATGTTTCATATTGCATAGACATGAAATATGCACTGTGTTGCACTACATAGATTCTTCACAAAAGTTTTCCATTTTACAGGATAACCAATTTCATCAACATTAACCCTTCGACTCACCTGGGTTGCTAACAAGAGTAACCATTGAGGGTATTTATCCGGCTGTCAACTTCAAGACCCTAAAAGATTAGTTGAAGTATAGCACAAGTTGGTCCGTACACCATTGGTCGCAAAAAAGGAAAAAGAAAAAAACCCTTCGTATTCATATATCTTTAAGAGTGGAAAGAAGTGAAGCATGAATATATATAGCTATGCAATTTTATTCTTGTAAATTTCTGAAGAACTTCGAAATTTACCAAAAAGATTCCCGAACTTACAAACTGATAAATTTTAATCAGCAAGAAAAACATAATCATAGAGATGCCCACGATTCTAGTGCTACTGTTTTCAAGACCGGTAAAAAAATAATAATAGAAGTTTCTTTGTGGCTAAAGCCGGATCATACAGCCTAAATTAGATTCAACGAATAAGTTACAACAAATTACATATATTTTTATATATATTGTGAAGAAAGATTCAAGAATAACTGCATGCATTGGTGTCAATAATGTTGATAGTACCTCAGCCAAATCACCTTGAACTGAAGATCACTCTACCATGAAAGATGCAGATAAACATCTGAAAGAAGCAGTATCTTAATTCACAATCAAAGGTATGAACTATGGTGAAGAGAGATTTTGATTAAGCTCAAATATATTAAACTATTGTGAAGAGAGATTTTGATTTTAAAAATATAAGGTATGAACTAGAATGGGATTTTTCTTTTTGGACAGTGTGCTTTCAGACTTCGGTTACAATAAACAAAAAGCAATCAACAAACCTTGGAAACAGAAGCAGTACTGTTAAAATTATAAGCAACCAAACTCGTGGAAGAATAAGCCAACAATACATTGGGTTTTCCCCCGTGTGAACTAGCTAATTGGTTATTAAAGAAACCTCTTCTGTCTTCTAGGGATCTCTCACACTCACAATTATAAATATATATTCATGAAGCTGATCGAGGTTGTACGAATCATATATTTTTGGTCCATACATGAACAGAAACTGGTGGATTGTACTTGATAAGACTAACTTCTTGGTATCTAGATTCCACGATTTGTAATCCATTGATCAGGTAGAGAACGATTTAATATGCGCAATGACCTTGACTATACAACCACAAGCAAAGCTGCAGAACAAAATATAAAGTCATGCATGCTACCAATATAAAAACCTCATTATTCAAAGCAAAAGAGATCGAATTGCACCATAAATTCTCATGAACATATCATTATCTTCTCAGAGAAAAAGGAAGTTTTCAGATTACTTGATCAAGCTTATGAATAAAATGATAAAGTTGTAAATTTATGGATCTTGTGCTTTAATACTTGATGTCAATATTCAGTTAGACCAAATCACATGATTTTGCAAACCCAGCCTATTGGATTTTTGAAGGGAAATTAAGTATCAAAAGCAAACTTGGTAACTGTATCAATTAGGTCAAAATTTTTAGGTACTCATGACTAGATCCATAAACAAATAAAATTAGCTTGAATAAAACCAGATTTTTATCTAGCTTTGATAGAAAACTACACTATTATTCTACCAATATCCAAGGTTACACTAGATTAAAGAAAACGAGAATAGGGTGGATTTTAGGGTTTCTGAATTATGAACATTTCTAGGCTTCCAACTTCCTAGCTTTTATTTATGGCAACAGAAGTGCATGTCTCAAAGGATGCAGCAGCAATTTCAAAATTGACAGAGTGGTCTTCACCAATTATATGTTTCTGGCGCTGAAGCCCATCTCCTTAAGAATTCTGAATATAACCAAAGGCCACAGATTGAAGATCATCAGTGTCTTGGAAAGTCCATTGCCGGTTGTCTGTTTGCATGTCAAGTGTACTCATGGAATGAAAACCCTCTCCGAAGCTAGCAAATGAGACATCTTCTCCTGAAATGACTGAATTTTCATAATTTCCGAAAGAGTTTGGATTCATATTGAATCTATTTTCACAGTATGGATTTGTTGTGGAATGATTGTTGGGGTTCGGATTAAATTGCGTCTCCACGTTTGAATTTCCTTGGTGAAACCAACTGTGAATATCTTGTGGGCGAGAGGGAAGCTTTCCACAATATTTGTCATTAGGGTTTGCAGGAGCAGAGCCATTAAGAAAGCTTTGAGCTGCTTGTTCCTTTAGAGAAGCGAGTTGTGCCTGTAGATTCACAACCTACAAGATTTAAAATAAAAAAGGGATATCAATAAATTTAAAGTTAATGAATTAGGGTTTCAATCAACAGTAAAAAATTACAAGATAAAAGGGAAATAAACCTGCTGTTGGAGAGCGAAAATATGCGAAACGCAGCCGTAAATGGGATCTTGAAGCCTAGCTTGAGCTTCATAAGAGATTGTGACTGCAGCTTCACAACGGTCATTGACAGGGAGATGAGCAAGCAGCTTTGAAACATTGCTTGCACCAAAAACCTTGTGGATGGCTGCAAAATGGGTAGCGCCTTGTTCATGGCAAAAATAAGGTGCGAAAACACAACCTCTCACACATTTTCTCCTCAAGAATTTGCAGGCTCCACAAGGAGAACCAGAACCTGTCATTTTGATAGATATCTTTTTGGGATATTGGTGGGTTTTGCTCTCTCAGGGTTGTGCAATAGCATTATCTCCAAGTTTATAAACACCAAAGGAAGAGGGAGGTGGATCATATAATAATGAATTGTTAATTCCCTTAGGTCCCCTTAATGGGCTACAAATTTCATTGTTTATTTCTTTAAAAAACCCTCTTCCACCCCTTCATAGTTCATCCTAAATTTTTATACACTCATATAAGATTCCATTTAGCATCCTTATACGACAAAAGAGCTAAGCATAAACCAAACCCATTTATGTTTGCTTGATGGTGGGGTCTATTTTAACTCATATTTTGAGTGTGTTAACTGATTCTTACTGATCATAACTGCAACTACATCTAATATAGTTAGTTCGTCTTACTATCCAAAACGTACAAGTTTAAACAAGTGAAACAGAGGCTGAAAAGTTTAAACTAATGTTAGGGCAAAAAATCGTCCTTGGCCCAAATAGAGAAACAGGACCACTAGTGAAGAATGACCAGGCCCAGTCTTGCAGAGGCCTAATTCGGATTAGTCCTATTTGATACGAGGTATAGCCGGCCTAAAGCACATGGGCGCGAGCCTCTTAATCCCAGTCCACTTCCTGGGTCCATGGGCGAGTCCAGAGCCCATAGCCCCTTCAATATTTTTCCATTCTTGATCAATCCCCTATTCAAGGTCGCCTTCCCCTTTCCTGATGACTTTCCCACTTGAGAGTTATTCTCCTAATCAGAATTAACTTCCTATCCGGACACTGATAAGACAGCTGATTACGGCCTTGATTCTAGGGTTAGCATCAGAGTCATACTAGGACTCCTGCTCCCACCAGGATTGGGAGACCAGACGACCACTATATAAGCAGAGGCCAGCCCTCTCACAAAGGACATCGACATTACACCTTCACACCCTAAGCTCTTGCTTGAGAGCTTCGCTTCACCGCCGTAGTCACAGTCCCCGACTAGACTTCCAGTAACCTTTTATTCCCTAGCCCTCACTATATTAGCCTTTCAGCCTTGCTGACTTGAGCGTCGGAGTGCCTACGGCAAACACCACCCTGGTGTTTCCCGTTCGCTTCACGCGTGTGTTTCTCTACGTGTGCAGGTACAGCAGATCGCTAGTGGCCTTAACCTCACGGGATCAGACCTCCCTTTCCGTACAGGTAGGTTTTTACGTTTACAGTTTCGCGCCCACCGTGGGGCCTCTAGTAATCATTCGGCGTGACGAACCTTGCTACGTGGAGGAATATTCCATGGCTGACAATCCAGACGACGTTAACTCAGGCCTCGAGGCCAGACTGGAGGCTTTGACCGCCCTCATGCAACAAAACTTGGACAAGGTGGCCACACTGGAAGCCGAAAACACATCCATCAGGGTCGAGAACCAGTCGCTAAAGGAGAAAGTAAGCCGATTCTATGAACTCGAGTTTCTGCCTGACCAAGCACCCCCCAATCGGTTCCGCACCACTATCCCATCCATGCAACCCCTCTCCACACCAGAGCATCGACCCTCGGATTCTGGTAAAGGGTCGGGTCAGTTTAACNGTCGTGCCTCAAGTTTAGCAGATATCGGCCCTTCTCCTTATCATTCTCCTTCAGGAAGTACGAGTACAGCAGCTCGTGCAACCTGAACACAATTTGGTGCCGAACACACAGATCCTCCAGGGCCATCAGCAATCCCCAGGCGTTCGGCATAAGTTGGGAAGGGGCGATAATGAAGTGATTCAGCACCTCCCAGACGAGGCGAGGCACAGGCAACCTCAACCCATCATGAAACCATTTCTTGTACACACAGACCCAACCTTCAGCTTCCCAATCAACCCGCTCGTCCGACCGCGGGTCCGGACTTTGATAGAACCAGGGATATGATACAGTGTACGGATACGCCACACGTCACTATCCTTCAGCACGGGCGGATAATCTCTGGTCAAAATCCCACTGCCCTGCTGGCTCAGCTCTTCCTCAGAGCTACTACCGGATGAAGAGGGACTGTCAGCCCCTCCGGAGTCTTCCCCACTCCTACCATACAGATCCGAGCCACTCAGCCTAGCTCCACTCGACCCTGGAGCAGCAACACTAACTGCGGTCGGCATGCCGACCGGAACGCTCCCCTCAGGCATCATCACCATAGTCGGGGCACGCTCATAGTCGTCCCCAACATCCACCACATCTCGACTCGACTCTGTTGATGTATCGTCTGACATAGCGGATGACTCGCCCGTACGAACCGATCGACTCGTTCCTTGTTATGGAACCAAACTACAAGAAACGCTCAAGTGTCAACCTAGCTACCAGTCGTCCTTCAACACCGACCGACACCCGCGAAAGTCACTCTTCAATCTCAGTCGCCTCGCCTAATTGGCCGAATGAAGAGGCACGCTACTAGCCGACCTGTCCGATAACTAGACGTCACCCTACCCTTGGTCGACCCCTCCAACCGACCGACCTTAGAACCAGGTTCAGTAGAGTAGTTCGCTCGCCCCAGACGACCAACCCACCTCCAAGCTCAAACCGAGTCACCTACTAACCTCGCTCACTTTCCCACGAACCTAAAAACTCCCACTCGCCCTGGATGACCGACTGACCCTTCAGTCCGCTCCACGCCCCCTTCTCCACCCTATTCGGTCAGGCGGACCGACCGAACGACCTCTTACTAAGCACGACTTAACCCAGAAAATGCCCGAAATTATCGGATTCTTCCCGGATATCCACCGAAAAATTCAAATCTATACCTTATCTCCGAGTCCTAACACGAAAACACTTGAAAACCCAGTGTAAACCCCCTCAAAAGTTCAAAAAAAGCCTTCATCCTACCTCCCAAAGTTTCAACCACCAAAAAAACAAAAAAAACCCACAAACAGAACAGCAAATCGGCCAAAAAAAGAAAAATGGTTACCTTGTTGCAGAAAAGACCACCGTCGCTCAAAGAAACTGAGAACAAAAAAGAACAAAAGAAAACCAAAAACGAGAGATTTTTCTTTTGATGAAAACACAAAACGAACGCGGATAGAAGATGAACAGTCTACTCCCCAGATTTGTAAAGAAAATACAGACACGTGGCAGTTCGTGGTTGGCCAGTTGTCAGGGGGTCTCTTCGTTTTCCCGCTCTCGAAACGACGGATCGATCGCCACCATACACGTGGCAGCGATCCAGACCACCTGGGAAATCGTGGCCCTGTACGGATTCTGCATCTCGATCGCCCGACCCTTCCGGCTGACTCAGCTTGTACCTCCAGAAGTATGTTCGACGCGCATCCAACCTTAGTATGTTCGACGCGCATCCAACCTTCACCCCAACAGCACACTTGGCCACTCAATCCGTCCGACCGACTCAGCTTTTCAGGTCAGGAGCCCTCCCAAGCATCCCATACTCAGCCAGCCCAGAAGGCCCGGTCGATCGACGCATGAGCTTGGAGTAGCCTGGGTTAAGCCCTCTTCAGAACAACGCCATCAAGCCTCGCCCATTCGTCCGTCCGTGGCGAACGAGTGGTCAACGTGTACGGTTACCTCACCTACCTGGTCGTCCCAACACCCTGACCGAATGAAGCTCCTTGGTGAATTTCCTGAACTCGTCCGTTCCGGCATGACGAATGACTGCCCCTTGCACGGTTTCCTTGCTAGTCACGCGGACGTACCGAGCGACCATACCTAGTTCTCTGCTCTTCGGCTCGTCGAACCGATCAAGCACATCGCAATGGTGGCATGCTCTTGTTCAGGAGTGGATACCGAACGACGTCCAATCAAGGATCACCTGCAACGGTCAGAGCATTCATTTCAATGATCGTTCGTCCATGAGGGAAGACCGAGCTCGCCTTGAGCGTAACCTACTCTCTGACTTAAGTTACTCTCAACTTAGAGAGTGGGGGACAAACTGTTAGGGCCAAAAATCGTCCTTGGCCCAAATAGGGAAACAGGACTACTAGTGAAGAATGACCAGGCCCAGTCTTACAGAGGCCCAATTCGGATTAGTCCTATTTGATACGAGGTATAGCTAGCCCAAACCACATGGGCGCGAGCCTCTTAATCCCAGTCCACTTCCTGGGTCCATGGGCGAGTCCAGAGCCCATAGCCCCTTCAATATTTTCCCATTCTTGATCAATCCCCTATTCAAGGTCGCCTTCCCCTTTCCTGATGACTTTCCCACTTGGGAGTTATTCTCCTAATCAGAATTAACTTCCTATCCGGACACTGATAAGACAGCTGATTACGGCCNTGAACTGAAGATCACTCTACCATGAAAGATGCAGATAAACATCTGAAAGAAGCAGTATCTTAATTCACAATCAAAGGTATGAACTATGGTGAAGAGAGATTTTGATTAAGCTCAAATATATTAAACTATTGTGAAGAGAGATTTTGATTTTAAAAATATAAGGTATGAACTAGAATGGGATTTTTCTTTTTGGACAGTGTGCTTTCAGACTTCGGTTACAATAAACAAAAAGCAATCAACAAACCTTGGAAACAGAAGCAGTACTGTCAAAATTATAAGCAACCAAACTCGTGGAAGAATAAGCCAACAATACATTGGGTTTTCCCCCGTGTGAACTAGCTAATTGGTTATTAAAGAAACCTCTTCTGTCTTCTAGGGATCTCTCACACTCACAATTATAAATATATATTCATGAAGCTGATCGAGGTTGTACGAATCATATATTTTTGGTCCATACATGAACAGAAACTGGTGGATTGTACTTGATAAGACTAACTTCTTGGTATCTAGATTCCACGATTTGTAATCCATTGATCAGGTAGAGAACGATTTAATATGCGCAATGACCTTGACTATACAACCACAAGCAAAGCTGCAGAACAAAATATAAAGTCATGCATGCTACCAATATAAAAACCTCATTATTCAAAGCAAAAGAGATCGAATTGCACCATAAATTCTCATGAACATATCATTATCTTCTCAGAGAAAAAGGAAGTTTTCAGATTACTTGATCAAGCTTATGAATAAAATGATAAAGTTGTAAATTTATGGATCTTGTGCTTTAATACTTGATGTCAATATTCAGTTAGACCAAATCACATGATTTTGCAAA